ATATTTAATAAATTAATAAATTATTTTAATAATTTTAAGAAATAAAATGTTACTGTTTTCCCTGCCCTCTCCTAAATAATTATTTTCCACTTCAACCTACCCCTATTTTTATAAACTAAAAAGAAATGATATTTATTATGTAATAATTCTAAAAAAATAGATAGAGATAGAAGGAAACGCACACAAAGAGCCATTGAATTTATGAATCGGAAAACGTGCGGGATACGATTAAAAGGTGTGTAAGAAATCCGTGTATACCGCGGCCAAAAATATCCTATCGCGTCAAGATACGCGTAAGTACACGTGAGCCAGTATCTCGCATAGGAAAAGGAACACGTGTGCACGGGACGCGTGGTTCAACTATGCATTATGCCAACACCACATACGTATTTCCGTGTTCACACGGGCCATCGTCCTCGCAGCCGTCTACCACTTCCGTCTGCGAATGTTGACATTCCCTGATACACTGGCTAAAAGCAATTTTCGATTCGCGAATTAAAAAGAAAACCTTTTACACCTCGTTCAAATTCTTTCGCTTTCGATGCGACCTACATTCTAAACGGCTACTCGAAACGAAAAATAAAATTTTCAGTCGGTTCGATTTTTCGTAAATTAAAAAATTTTAATTAGAGCGAAAGTAATTATTCCCTTTGGAATAAGAATGATAATAATGACCAAGACACGTTTCGAGAGGAACGAAGGAATTCGATGAGAGCCAGCCGTCTCGTTAACATATCTAATCGATATCACCTTTGCTACGCGGCTGACTAATTACCGGCGGAAACACGGACGTCGACGGGGTTAAAGGTAAGACTTCCGGGGAGCGACGAGGAAAGCTCGTAGACGATGCAGCGACTGGGGTTCAGGGCATCGACCCAGTTCTCATATGTATTTATACCAGAAGACGCTATGCCGGCTGCGTGTGGCCATTTTGGAGTGGCCAAGATGGAAAGAGAGGAAATGGTGGACAAGAGAGGGACACGATGAAAAGAGTGCCGTCTCGTGCGTCACGAGACGTGCTACGGGGGCTAATGAATCTCGATATTTAATTCCGACCGTGCGGGAAAACCGACTCCCGCTGAGGACAATGTTAAACGAAATCAAGTAATTTTATCACGAATACCATCGAGTTTTATTTTACTTTCAACGAAACGGATAGGAAACCTACGAGAAGGTGCCTAAACAAATACCATGTTATTACGTAACTCCGAGGCGAATTAATTAGGAATTTTCTCAAGGGAAAAATGGTTCTAAAGTTGGAGAACTTTTCGAGGGAAATTAAACGCGGAGGGAAGTTTGCGAAACTTAGTTATCGACTGCAGAGAGAAGTTTTACAGCTGGTCGCTGGACTAGGAAGTTGAGAAAATAAAGCGAGAACTTCCGTCGAGATTTATGATCGATCGAGTACACGTGTCTTTAGGAAATGAAACAGAGAGACTTGAAATTTTCTTTCATCGCGAACTTTTCAATTTTACGTTCGATCCTTTGTGTACCGCGAAGATTAGAAATTATCCTCGCGTGTAGATTTTCTGAAATGGAAAAATGGAATCTCAGCTGCGAGATCCTCCCACGCAATTTCGACCAGCTGATCTCGATTCTTTGCCGAGGCTTGGATTGAAAATCTCACAATGAGCTGCCTTTAAAGTTCACCACTTTTGTGTCGCTAGAGGGTGAAAGAAAATCGGGAGAACGTTGCTTGCGATTTAAACCTGGAGAAGAAAAAAAAAGAGAAGGTAGAAGATTTCGTTGTGCAAGAGTCGATGGCGCAAATCGAAAGAAGGTAACAACAACAACCTGAGCTGACGGTCTTTTGTTCATTTAGGACGAAGGACAACCGTCAGGTAGATTTTTGGAAAAACGAAAGGACCGATGGCGAGTCTGGAAAACATTTGTAAAAATTTACAGACTTTTTGGAAGATCGATAAATTCCTCCCAACGCACCGTCACGCGACCGACAATCTCGGAACCATCAGAATGGTTCGCTGTCCACCGCAGAAGGATTTCTCAGTGGACCTGCAATCGCGGTTTGACGAAAAGTCGGCTCAAGATTCGGAGCCGTGTGTCTGCCATATGACAATAACATCTGTGGCCCACGCCAAAGGTACGCGTACCTGCGCCGCGGACCATCTTGCAAGCCGGACCATACGAAACGAAATCGAAAGGTGTTCCCCGTGGAGGACGCGACGGGAAACGCAGCTGGCAAAATATTTGCACGGTAGGGGAACCTCTCGTCTTGCGGTTCTCCTAATTCCCCCCCCCGATTAATTATCCCGATTTCATATTCGTTCGTCAAAATGATTCGAGGAAAACGATTGAGAGATTCTCAGACTCAGGGTAATTTGGGAGAATTTTTTTTCTATGATTCTATGATTTAGTATCCTACTGTTAAATGCATTTTCAAATATTATTTCATATACCTATTTTTATTACTCTTGTCTATTGAGACCTCCAGCTGTTGTTTATTGTACTAATCTACTGATTGCAATATGCTGCTCCTTGTTTGCTTCTTTAATTATGGACTCTGGGATAATTGGTCGAAGGTGTGGAATTTGGTCGGGTTCGATGAAGTCTTTTGTTTGGCTAGACAACAAAAATGTTCAAATATATTGGGTTTGTTTCGTTTAATAAATAATAAATGAAATGGAAAATTGAATAGAAAATAGAAAACAGAAATAGAAATAGAAAAATAGAAATAGAAAAATATAATAAAAAATTTGAAAAACAATTATCTTACTTCTTCATCTATCAAAGTATTTTCAATATTTTATTTAACAATAATTTAAACTATGCAATGATACAAAATAATTCCGTCATTACCGACCAGGTAAGTTACCATGTGATAATTCGTGACAGATGTCGCTTACCTGCAGTCGCTTCTGAATACCGACGGTCGGTAATAAAGGAAACTGATGGTTACAATTGAAATTAAAAAACAAATTTTTCACATTTTCAACAGAGAATAATAAATTCAATTAATTACAATCATAGCAGAATACCCAATTTTTAATAGAATCCCTTAATATTTGCTATTTTATTTGTTAAAGTCTTAATAAAAATTTAGTATTATTGCATAGAATAAACTTTTACTATTTCTATACTATTACTATAATTAACACCTCTATTTTGCAAAGTAATGAGTGATTTAGAATCGACTGTGATCATTCTAGATCCGTTTAAATACATATGAACAATACGTTGATCGTTCTCATTTGTGTTCGAACGATTCGATATCTGTGGAAAATTACATAAAAATTTAGATAATTCAACGCGAGTAGGACGGTTTTAACAAACGACAAAAAAAAAGAAGAAAGTTAATGCAAATACACGGTTGGTATTGTTGACGCGAATGTATACGATTTAACAATAATTATAAGAAAATGAAAAAGACTATCAGCTTGTTTCGACTGAATTTGAAAAGAACACTAGGACGATAACGATCGTTTTGCGCAGATTCGACCACTGCAGTAAGAAAATCTACAATCGATGAAGGCTAAACAAGATAATCTAAATGTTGTTTAAAGAGAGAGAGCATTCAATAAACAAACGATATAAAAAGCACGATAATGCAGCGTAACGTAATGACACGAGAAACGTATCAAGTAAAACGATTTCGGTATTGTCGTTGCATCGGTGTACCAACTGACATAACCTCAAATTGACCGCGAACCTGAAGGTGCATATACCGAAAAGAAAACTGGCGTTGTTTCGAGGAAAGCACAGTCACGTCGAGAAGGTTCGCATCGGAAACGACGCAATGCCACGAAAAAAGTCAACGAAACTTGCGCAGGAGCTGGCAGCAAAGTCAAGAGCCCTCGCAGTTGACACATGTCAAGCGTGCAGTGCAACTCGAAAAAACGTCCGAGCTACCGACAACACACAATTACGAATACGGATGTAAAATCGACACTCACCGCTGTGCCCGGTGTTGCTCGACGACTGGCCCATTATTCTTATGCCGACGGCGATGGCAGGCACGAGATAAAGCACTCGGTGATCGCGGTGGACTTACGTGAAAAAGCGGACGCATGAGTGCGCGAGAGACCGACACATTTTTTGAAAAATACTATCACATCGTGTACCCGCAGTGTCGCTACGACAGAGACGGACGGCCGCTTCGAAGCAACGAGGTGATTGGCCCGCGTGATCCTGCGCATGCGCGACCCGCGAATTTTTGAATCCGTTTACCCCTCGTTATCTTCTACTACCTTGCGCATAACTAACAATATAATACCCAATTTGAACGGTCTATTATTTAACTAACGATGAAAATAGTTAAAAAATTAAGTTCCTCGTTCTGTTCGATTAACAATACCACCGTATAAAATTAATACAAGATAATAATTAAAATAAAACATGACCCACCTACGCGAACACAGAATTACTAAGTTCCAGACAATTATACGCACCCATTTCACAACTGCACCCACAATTCGCGTGTTGCGAGCTCGCATTTTATCATTTCTCGCAAAATAGAATCACGCGATTATAGTCTGTTGTTCTATTTCACAACGTCTCTTTGGAGATCCCAGTTGGGTCTCAACTTGGTCACCAAAATGACTTGCTAACCTTTGAATGCCGCAGTCAAATGTTAAAAGTAATTTTTTAAAATTTCACTGTCTAATTTTAATCACCTTTTTACGCGATTTGGGCCACAATTAACCCCGTCCATTTTTTAAAAATTACAAGATCCACGCAACACGGTCGAACGTAGAATTGTACTGAGTCTAGATCGCGAGGAGAGATCATCGACCAGCCTCGAATTCTCGAAAGAAAATTCCGAATCAACGATACATCGCCTTGGTAACCAACCGACAAAACACTGGCTCGTAAGGGAGCTGGAGACGATACGACGTTGTCGTCGTCGAGGAACAACAGGAATCTCGACTTCTACATGGTTTCTACCTCGATCCGGTTCGATCCACGTCCCCGAAGACGTTGATCTCTTCGGTCGACATCGTTTTTCCCGTCTGACATGAGCGTGTCGGAAGAACTCGACTCGGAGGAGCCTCGGGCATTTAGCAGCTGACGGCGACCAGACGATCGTTCATCCTGGGAAAAGCGCTCAACTCTCGGGGAAAGATGGATGTCAGGTTCTGCTGGATCATCCCCTTCGCTTTGCTTCTACTATTATCGCAAGGTCAGTTTATCAATCATCATATTATAGTCAAAACACGAAACGCGCTTGATTTACTGTAATCGATAATTCTGTGGGCAGTGAGTCTTAAAAAGATCTCGATGATCTAATTACCGGACACCTTGTGTAATTTTATATGTTGCTTTATAACAAAGTGTCGGAGAAACTGGTACGTTTCGTTGAAAATGTGTGACCACATCTTGAGGTGAATAACCCGAGCCTAGAAGGTGAAGAGTGTTTGACTGGAAACGAAGTCAATTGGACATGAAGAGAATTCCACAGAGATTCTCAGTTTTTGGAGGAAAGCTTAAATAATTATTTGATGAAGAAATAATTGGTCGAAGAGTAAGGATTCTTTAGTAATTCTATTGCAAACGCTAATGCGAGTTTTTTTTTTTTAATTTTCCAAATTGATAAAATAAAATATTTTACAGGGTATCTTTAACCCGGGGTCGAATCTTATGTAACCTCTAGCAACTTCAAGTTTAATCGATTTCCTTCGGATTAATTGCTTTATTTTCGTTAATTAGGCTGGGCCATCGACTGTTTCAAGTGCGTGTCGATCGACGGTGACAACAAACCTTGCGACGACCCGTTTCACAATAACGGAAGTCTTGCCTTCCTGGAGTCGCCCTGTTTGGGAGGTCGCAAAGGGCGCGATGGTCTTTTCCCCGCGACTGCGTGCATCAAAATAGCGGGCATATACGGTAAAACTTACCTCTTTTTGTAATCACGAGTGGCCCTTAACCCCCTTCGGCCGTTGTGTGTTCGCTGAATACACTATGCTTCTTCTGCACGCGGCAACGCTTGTTGACGGAGGTTTTTGTAGGGCAAAATAAAAGTTAACACACAACTCGAAACAATGAGAAAATTGTGTTTGATTAAGTTCCAAGGAATTTTAGCGTATCTCAAAGAAACTTAGAGCGTAGACCCAGATGGCATCATTTTAATTAACAATCCAGTATTCTTTTTCAATACGAAAAGAAATAAAATATTAAGAAAGCTATGATTTCATTAAATACTGTGTTAACTTTTAATTTTTTAATAATCACCTCCATGCTTCCCAAGTATGATTGTAATTAACGCGTGATTAATTAGACGAATCTGGAGTGTCTTTGACGGTGAGGAGCTGTGCTCTAGACAGCGGAACTTTGACGACCGATTCAGAAATTGTAAGAATGTCTCATTGCGGAGGTTTCTACTTCGACGACAAGTAAGTATAAAAATAGAAGAGTGTAATATTTAACCCTTGTAGAAAATTGGAAATCAGAATAGTAATGATGATTTTCAGATACGTACGAGGCTGCGTTCAATCGTGCAACGATGCTGACGCTTGCAATGGATCATCGCCTCAAGTACTTTCCTTCGTACTCTTAAGTTTATCGATCTTTGCCGGGCTAATTTGACGGGAACTCTATGGATAATTCCAATGAATCAAAACCATAGATAATTGTACATAGAAAAAAAAAAAAGAAATCGCCTATAATGGACCACTTCGAATTTAAAACAGTAACGCGACCAATTAGCTGTGGACCAAAGATGAGAATACCCTGAAGGATGATGAAAATCGTTTATCATATTTATCTAATATATTAAATAAAATTTAGAATACTTGAATATATATATATACACATTTCTCATATCAAATCTAAGATGAAATTCACTATTTGATACTATTTGATAGTTTGCAAATAGGAGCAGAAACTGCCATTATAATTATGTATACATTATGGACGTAATTATCATTTTATTATTATTATTAATATTATATAGCTATTGCTCGACGATAGTGAGGCATGCATTTGTGAGATTATTACAGATTATATACAATACTCAATAAAATGAAATTTAAGTTACATTGCATCTCAATTAATAAATCATACTGCCTTACTCGCTCCTTTACATCGCCCTATTAGTCGCCTCTTACGACAGGCAGGGGTTACCGTGGCCGTATTCTGATCCCCCCGAGCCACAGGGGGAAACAATTTTATTTTTTCATTATGCAGACTAAACAAAATCACGCGTGCATCTATTGCGATATCCGGGTACAAAAGGGACGTTTCAATTTTTACCATTATGGCGCCACTGGTTAACCTAATTTTGAAAAATCGCTCGGTAAGGTGTTGAGTAGTTTGCGGGGTTTTTTAATAGATGGCACAGAGGTTGAATTTCGCATTATTTTACCGTCCATTAGATCTTGAAATTATTTAATTTTGCAATTTGTATGCATTAGTACCGTAGCCAGAAATGGCTTTACTGACGTAATGCACGTCATAAAGAGCTATGATCTAATGTTCCAAGTTCAAGGGGATAAAGGCTAGCTGTAATCGGTCAAAGAAAAAAACACAAGAGCAAAGGTTCTTGAATTTGCTCTTGAAATCGAATCGACGAACGTGATGCGAAGAATGCGTCTAAAACGCAAGTTCATTGATAGATATGGAAATTAGAGGCTATGCAAATGAGACGTAGAGGAGCGATTGATAATCATCAATCATGAAAAATCATGTTACGAACGCGTCGCAACAGTTCGTCGAGTTTTTCTCCCGAGTCGCATGCTGGTCATGGGAGACCCTCGAAAAGTTACTCGACATCTTTCTCGATTTCTTGACGAGGATAATCGAATTGATACTAGCGATGATGAACCTGATTTTCCAGGTGATATGCTTCCTAATGGGTCTCTGTATCGACGCCATGCAAACGTTCGCGAATATCTTCCGAGGAATCGTAAACGTCGTTAGCAAAATTAGCTGCGAAGAGATCGAAGATTTCGCATCTGCTTGCATCGTTGTTCTACTTTGGATCTGTGCTTTCAAGATCCTCAAGAATTTGATCAAGCGTGTAGGAACTTTATATACTCCCTTAGCACGTTTTAAGAATAATTAGAATTTCTAAAGTTTCGATTGAAAACTGCTATCGCACAAAGTAGAATACGGTTCCTAATTTATATCTAATCTCGATTGAGAATAATATAATCAATCGATTTCTGTTCAATGTTTCAAACTTGCAACGGTATTCCCATCGGTAAACAAAAATGTCCTTATGTAAATGAACCTGATGGGAACGACTCAAGTAACTAGCTATGATTTTTAGAAGCAAGAAACGCTACACAATGACAAGGATTTAAAATGTAAGCACATTTGACGAAATACCGAAAAACGTGTGCTCTGATGTGTGGTGGAAGACTGTGGCACAAAAACCAGGTAATCTTGTATTATTCAATTAGACATAATTGAAGAATTATGAAGAAAAAGTATTCCATCCCCAACGGGGTACCGTCCACGCGGAGCCCTTCGGCCGGAAGTATTCCACCGTCAAAGGGTTAATACATATTAAATTTTCCTATGTATAAATTATCTGGTTTTTGATCCGGCAGTTTTACTACTTAAAACAATAAATTATTGAAAAGAACTTACTTCGTGGTGAAGCTGTATATTTCATAATCTCCAGAATCTTGCTCTTCTTGCTCTTCTTTTTCATCCCTTCACCACACCACATTAATGAATTATATACATTCTTAATTGTATGAATAAGAATGTTCGCGTAAACGTGTTAATAATGCTTACCGATTAAATTCGAGGCTCGAGGAATCGACCGCTCTTCACTGCGGTGACCTGAGCACTAACCAAAACACCAACACATACGATACTTCCAACGTTCCTTTTATATGTCATAGAACGCGTTCAGTCTGTTTGGCTCGAGAAACGTGAACGGGAACAATAATAACAAGTTTGAGAGATACAGGCTAGAAGCTTGTCCCCCAAGGAGAAGGGCAGGGAAAAGGGTGAATCGACGTTACGAGAAACGATCTCGAACCGCTCCCAAGGAAGAAGAATTGGGTGACTAGAATAAAAGAAAAGAAAAGGTCAGAATGGGGCAGAGGTGGAATACGTTTATATAAAAAATCTTTTTTAAAAGATATGTATCTCTGAATTATAGATTCAAAAAAAAGGAAGACTGCAAAGTGTATAAAACTTGTACGAAGAAAACTAGAAAATAAATCATGTTTTCTTATAAATATTATTCCTTATATTCCGTTCTATTATACATATCCTTTTTAATATAAAAATTGCCAGAAGATTCTGACAAAGTGTCAGATTTCTAAGGTTTTCTATTTACAAAAATGTTCTACATAAAGTAACAATGTGTAAACTCGTATATCAAATACAATTACACTTTATACTTTGCATTCTATTATGTACATAATTAAATATAAATTGTTAACAAGCATCAACTTGTAAAAGAGAGGCGTTCGAAAAATATCTTCGGTAAAAAAAAATATTCTTAGTTTCGTTGACACGTGTTAAATATGCCTCCTCTTCCACACATTGATACGTAAAGTCTTGCAGTTCTATCGTGTGCACGATAACCGTACGCGCACAATTATAAATAGTTTCGTCGAAATCCGCTTTGTAACAAAATTAGATAATACTTTGCTTACGTCGATTTATCCTAATTCGCTTAAACGTATCGAAACGTGAATGAATTTTGGGTAATTCTAGCCACACTTATATCCATTCCTCAGTCATTTACAACAGTGATAACTAGTTTATATTCGGGCCAAGAAAATGTTTTTGGCAACTGAAGCTGTAAAATAAATTAAAATATTCTTAATGACCAATATACAAAATTATTTTCAACGTTAATTACCTGATTTGGTGAATTTAGAACTTGAAACTCCTGGGCCATTTTTTCGGACAATTCCTCCGGAAGTAATACTTGTAACCATGGCCCCTGAACTACGTACGGCCTTTCTCTAGAAACTAGAGTGCCAGTTACTGACGGTGCTACGATTGTGATAGCCGTATGAGACAATATAGATTTAAACGTGAAATGCCTTCCGTGCATCACGCGTCCTCTATAAAATCAAATGTATATTAGAATTTCATTTATTATACATAACATTATTTATCATATACTGCAATGATATGTACTTTATTGCTAATGGTAACAGAGATCCAGCTTCGAGATTAAATGTTAAGTGGAGTCCTGGTAAAGCTTTAATCAAATTTTCATGTGACAAATTAATATCCTGTTCACAAGGAGACAACCTTTCTGACTTTATTATTGGTTTTATATCTTCTTCTTCCTCGTCTGACTCGTTTCTTGTCTCTCTATATCTTTCTATATTACTCTCACTGTTGACTTGTACCCACCTATGTAACATACTACTATTGTATTTCAAATTTTTATTTAGTTATTTAGAAATTAATGTAGGATACTTGCCAACATTTTGCAGACACACCGCTTAAATTAGAACCTTCCTTCTCTATACCAATTTGTATTTTCTCTGCTACAGAAGGATCATCCTCCATAACAGAATGTATTCTTCTCATATCTGTTACCAACCATGGTCCACAACCACGACTGGTCTTTAATAAATTTACTAGACCTAAGCCATTCCAGTGCTGTGCAGCTAACAATTCTTCAGAAGTAACTCCTACAATTTGAACAAAGGAAACCTGTAACATTATATGCAAGACAATGTTATTATCAAGTGAATACTTGCAACAACTATTATTATAAATGATCCACGTACATCACCATGAGGTGTAGATATGAATGCTGGTAACTGTGGATCCCTGCCCATCAAAATTTGGGTGATTCTACCATTCCCATTATCCAAAGGAGCATGCCACGACACATGGTCACCAGGCAACAACATGTTACCAGAATTAAAAACATATTTTGCTAGTTGTTGCATCACGTTGGCTGGCCAAGTAGGGGGAGTCATTTCGTTCCTTTCTCTGACCAATCTGAAGGTCAATTCAAACCCAAAACCACTTGGACGACCAGGACCACTTTTTGGATGTATCCTTCCATCTCCATGGAGATCCGATAAGCCCAAACTTTAATCAAAAAATATTTTTCTCATACACTGTTCTAAGAAACAGCTGAGGTAGAAATGAAAAAATCAGTGGCAAGATAGAAATAACTCTATGTTTAATCCAGAAGGGATAGTCTAGGTTTTAGTCAATGGTGGAACGTATTTAGATAGAACAGACGGAAAAGGGGAAGTCCCGTACATCTATTTCCGACGCGTCGCACTTCAAACGACTTTATCTTCCTGTACTCTATACTTTCTATATATAGAAAAAAGAGGGAACTATTGGAACAGCTGCTTCGAACCGAAGAATGAAGGGTCACGTATTAAGGAAAAAAAAAAAGGAAGAAGAAACACCCTTTCGCGGTAGACCATTCGTCATTCGGCGCCTAGTTTTTAATAAGGGATTCCTGAAACGAAAATTCATTTATCTTTTGACGACGTGAATCATTACGGTAACTTTTACACGTGCATGTTCCGTGTCCTAAAAATTTTCATTTAAAAAACAGGAAAATTCGATTTTCTTTATTGATGATACAATATAGCTAACAAATTACTACAATTCATTCTGTGATAAATAATAAAATTGTTATATCGGTATTTCAAAGGATCTGTTTTATTTGTGTCAAGGGTGGTAAGTGAAATTGTCGAATGACAGAAATGGGTACCGCGTACACGTGTCATCGAGGGTGCGTCGGAAAAATAACATGCGCCCAGATCAGAGGCACACTCCTGCTATTCAACAGGATGACACTGACTTCCCGTTTTTTTTCTCTAACTCTTGGATTCTTCCCTCTTTTCCATGCTACGAAAAAAAGATGTGACCTGTCTTTACTGAATGAACGATGCAAGCCAGTGTCACTTGGACGATCGCGTGCGCAGCGAAAAAGAAAAAATCCTTGACGGACTATTACTGAAATTTTGTCCCGGTGCTGTATTTGAGGAATAATTTACATTCATGATAAAATTGAACTCACCTAATATAATGCCAATGTGGCGGTACCCCTAATTCAGGGCAGCCAGGGTTTTTGTACATGCTGATGTAGTCGAGAGGATCCGGACCCCCCAACCTGCGCAAAGGTGTACAGAAAATTTCAGTTATTTGGTTTTATATCCGGTAGATGCAACTAAGGGTGGCTAAATATAAGTCGTCCTCCCTTTCGGTCCAAGACTTCCATGCCTAACTTGATAAAATACCCAATACCGCATTGCTAATAAAATACTACACAATTTCTTCGATTTTGTATCGATCGGGGGTAGATTTATCATATTCGGTTATACAATTTAAAGGGATTATATGTATAAATTTCGATTTTAATAATGTAACAATTTTTTCAAATTAAAATTTAACATAAGAGGTAGTATACATATAATAAAATACATTTTACAATTATAATTACTATCGCTGCAACACAACCCTTATTTTGACTAAACAGTAACATCAACACCTACTATATTTATTCTCCAATAACATATACATAAAATATTTAAACAATCAACAATTACGTTCAATCGTTACTTTAAATGACAGAGTTTTTACCAATATTTGACGACTGCAGTGACAGTGAGCGGATTGCTTTGGTCGGGATAGATCTCTTTACAAAGGCTGTGAAGCGCGTCAAGGCCTAGAGCCCGTGTCGTCGGTGCCTGGATCGGTTGTCCCGGTGGAAATGTTCGACAAAATTCTTCCCTTTCCCGCATATTTCCGTACATATATACAAACGTTCCAGCCGTAAAACGTACTGCTCTAAAATATACCACAGATAATGCACGAGCACTTTGTTTACTGTCGTGCAACCACTGCGTACACCTTCCACCAAGTACAGAACACACGTCTCCGATCCTTGACAATACTGAAATTCTTTCCTAGCGAACAGGCGACTGATTCGGAAATCACTGCGCGTCTCTGAAATGAACTGCAGGCAACTAAAGAAAGTGTTTCGGGATTGGTGCATGCTACTCTAGCTGCATCCCTATTGGAGCGTTCCCATAGAGAAATAAAACTTTCGACCCAATGGAACGGTCTTCGTACACAATTGTATTTGCTATTCAACAGAACACATTATTGAAAATGCACTTTGATCGGAGCACTTTGATAAAATTTGAAGAGTAGAAGTGCACTTCAAAATGTTACATTAAATAAAATGAAGTTGGGATATTCTATTTTAATTCTTGTCTATCTTTCACGGGATTTGCAAATATGTTCAGGAATCGCATTGATAAACAAAACCACAGATTTTCAGCAAGAATACAGGCCCAACGGTCCGTTAGTACTGTGTAAATTTCTGTAAGTATTCGGCTGATTTGATATTTCACGTTAGATTTATTAGTTTTATTAATTTAGTTTTGTCACATAACTACATACAGGCCAAAAGAATTTATAGAATGCGAAGAGCCAATTGATCATAAGGGTAATAAAACTGCCAAAGAAGAAACTGGATTTGGTTGTGTAAAGGTATTGTTGCTACTCACAAACTTATATATGAAATATATAATATACATAAACTAGAAACCTTGAACATTTTGTTTCTAGTTTGGAGGTTCTAGATACGAAGATGTTGAAAAAACTAAAGTATCATGTACTGTTCTACCAGATATTGAATGCTATGGGCAAAGAACATTTACCCGTGAGGGAGTTCCTTGTATAAAATACAGTGATCACTATTTTGCTACTACTTTATTATATAGCATACTGTTAGGTTTCCTGGGTATGGATAGATTTTGTCTAGGACAAAATGGTACTGCTGTAGGTAAATTAGTAACATTGGGAGGAGTAGGAGCATGGTGGGTGTTCGATGTAATTCTATTAGTCACAGGTTCCTTACAACCAGAAGATGGTAGTAACTGGAATCCTTACGTATAGTGTACCAAATGAAATTGAGAAATCTCCAAAATATTAAGTAAGAACAAATGTTTTATGTACTGTTGTCATTCTAATCAATAATAAATAAATTAAGTTTAAGAGATTATTAAAATACTTTTTGTAAAATAAATTTATATTTACTTGTATATGTATTAGTGTGCAATTATTTAGAAAAGCAAGTTACTAATATACAAATATATATCATGTTTTATAATTCATAATCATCTGGATGATACAATTCGCTGAGTAATCTGTAAATATATGATGGTGCATTTCCACCCCTGAAACAAAAAATTAACATTACATCGTTAATGGATAGTATCATTTGCTATAATGACCGAAATTTACTATCTTACGTATTTGAAATAAATAGGGTAACCAATTCTGGTGGTACATAATCAAAGACAGGATTATACACATGAATCCTCTCCAACAAAGGTGCATTAGTACTATTAATTACCCCCTGTATGGGTGAAACATGTTGATTAAAACCATCTTGTTCATGTGAGCAAAGATAAAGTGGAGATAGCTTATAAAGTGGCAACAAAACCATTACTGGTACAGAGTAATGTTTTGCAGCTTGAGCAACTGTATGAGTACCAGAAATTGCTCTCAATCCTCCATTTGCCATTACAGTATGAGTACCAATTATTACTTTATTCACACGTGACATCATTGCAAAAATGGCTACATCTGATATTAAAGTAGTTTTAATCTTTGCTTTTGAAAGATTGATTGCCATTTCATGACCCTATAAATGATGAAAGATTCTTTAATTGTACCAATAAGCTATCAAAATATTTATTCATACATACATTTAAAGATGGACCACCTTCAGCTACTATAACTTCAAAAGCTCTTGTTGTAGCAGCTCTTTTGAAAAATTCTTCCACTAATTTTGATTTACCAATAGTTAAAATAATCTCATTAGAATGAATATGTTCAGAAGCTTGTTGTGTAATATTTTCTGCACTAAAAGCAAGATGATATTATTAGCACAACATTCTGTTCTTTATTCATTATTGCAACTAACCAGGTTTCTAATTCAGCTTCAAATTCATTAATATGCTCTATAAGAGCTGATTTTAAGGAAGGCACAGAAATGTTAAAGTCAATTTGCTGATCACCCTCAGCAGTGAGAATTTTGTGTAATGATTCTTGTGGGTCTGTTTCTTCAGTTTTATTTTTCAATTCTAATGTGTATTCCTCTCTAATTATCTGTAATATTCTTCTAACCATATTGCCAATACAAAATTCCAAAGGAAATGTTTCTATTAAATGTTTTCCATTTCTTGTTATTATGTGTATCAAATTCCTTTTAAAATAAAAAATATGTTATTGAATTAGTTGTTAGGTTTGTACCATATATGTATATTAAAAAAATGTAATTAATACTCTGCTGTAGTCCATTCTGTGTTATTTATAATTTCTTTTAGAACCGATATAGTCGCCACGACAATGTTATACGTTCCTTTGATGTCACTAAAACATAAACATTTATAAAAAATGTAATAAAATTTTGATTCAAGTAAGGTTAGAATATTTTAAAGCCTCACCCATAAAGAATATCATTTATCAATTTTAATACTCCTTTATTGATCTCTTTGTTACCTGTGCTAACCATGTTTAGATTTTTCTTTTTTTAATGTTATTTTATCCAAAAATAAGATCGAGACATTTATTCTGTCATATAGTATTCAATAGTATTGGAATACCAGCTGTAGCAACTTATAGCAACTGTGCTTATAGTGTTTGGTTCTTTCTTTTCATTGTCACTTTACTTTGTTGCGTCGCACGTGTTTTTAGCGGCGTGACATGTGTATTACATGGTCGAATCTTAGTTTAAGATATTTCTAAATATTTTTCTAAACATTTGATAATTCTGTTGCATCACATTATTTTTTAAACAGTAAAAGATGGCACGCATCGGGGATGTTGTAAGTACAATACATTTTTACAGATTTTATACCATTTTGTAGTGTGAAAGTAATTCTTAACCTGTTATTCTTTTCGTAACAAGAACGTAATGAACTTTACTAATTTATTTTAACAAACGTATACCTGAATCCAAAACTAATTTGTTCTAATTTTCAAGACTGCAGATCAGTTGATAGCTGGTTCCAGTCTACTGTCTAGACCAGCAGAAGAATTTGACAATGATGTAAGTTATGAATAAACAATAAATGAATAAATGAATGTGCATAAATAATTATAATTGTTACATATTTCTTAGCCTTCAGTGGAAGCCATGTGGGCAATAAAAACCATAGAACATGCTACAGTTTATTTCAATGTAATACAATTTTCAGACAGCTTATTTAATCCTGTATGATGAAAGATTTAAATACTAAAGTTATTTGTATTTTAGATTTTATGTTCAGTTGATCCCAAGTTTTTGAAACTTACCCCCAACGATGATCAGATCTACAAAACCTTTAGGGAAGTTTTCCCTGACCTCAAAGTGGATAAAATAAATGAGGATGAATTAAAGTCATCAGAGGGAAAGATGAAATGGAGACCATTTTGTGAACAGTTCAAAGGAGTTGTAGAAGATCATAGCTTTGGTACACTGTTGAGAGCAGACTGTGAAGGAGATTATTCTGAAGAGAACAGTATACTTACAACTAGAATACAATTTTATGCCATTGAACTTGCCAGAAATAGGGAAGGTTATAATGATGGTATTAGAAAAAAGTACAAACCTAAACGGACTACCGAGGAGTCATAGAATCGTAACCATTATAATAACCAGATATTACATGTTAAAAACTCATTTGAATAGGATATTATTTTTCATATACAATTTTGTACAATTTAAATGTATCAAAGCTTATGAAGTTAAACATTTTACCAGACTGTTATTTATAATAAGCAATGACACAAAATAAAGAAATTAGCAAAAAAAAAGACGTTTTGTTTTTATTCTTTTTATACTTGTAAACTCATTAGAGGATTTGATGCACGTGCTTTATATTTTAATTGCGTAGCGGTAGATTTAAATGCCGTAGAGTCCCTATTAAATTTTCTTTTTCCTCTACCGACGCCTACAAGCCGTTTTAGAGTAGGTGGTACTATATATTCAGGCACATCTTTCAAGTGCGGTTGTAACTTTACAGTATGTAATGCTTTGTCTTGTCTCAGTGACTGTAAATCTCTCGGATTATCCTCAAAATAACTTTTCAATTTCTCACAATTCAATACCTCCTGTTTTATTTCTTTTAAACGAGCTTCGCGGACTGCTATTCGCGTTACCGCCTTCCACGCGTCCTTCGCTCGATACCTAATAAGAAAATACAAGATTATGAATTCTGAACTTAAATAAACATTTAAAATTAACATACCTAAAACCTTCTACTTCTTCCAGTTTGAACTGATACGTTTTAAATAATGTATCACGATTGTAACAATGTTTCAATTCTGTTTCAACCTGTTCAAGAAGGGGCCTTTCTCTTATCGATACGAAACTCAATGCCGTTCCCTGATTTTTTCCTCTCGCAGTACGACCAGCCCTGTGAATGTAAGAATTCACGTCCGGAGGAAAATCGAAATTAATTACATTGGACACGAACTGAAAATCTATACCACGCGCCACACCTGATTCTTTATCTTTTCTCCGTTTTCCTTTCTTAACTTTGACTATATGAGGCTGGAAGTAATAATGAGAATCATAAATAAGTCATTCATTGTTTGCATAGCCGAGATTTATATCACGTACTTCTTCCAAAGATTTTTCATCTGATGCTATTATAATGTCATAAGTTCCGCTATTAAACTGTGTGACTGCTCTACATCGCGAGAGAGCCGGTAATTCGGAATTTAAAACACAAGTAGGTATACCAAACTGTTCCAAGAATAATTTTAGTTTGTAACATCTATCTACTGTATTCACGAATATAATTGTTTTACCTCTGTAAATAAAAATTAGTTGATCTCTCTTTATGTTAATAAAATATTCTCTATGGGTGTCAACATTTATATGGTTACCTAACTAAATTCAATTTCAACAAAGCATATAAAATTGCAGCTTTATCATTTTCTTCTGCAGCAAGACTATAATGTGACAATTGAGACAATGGAGCTAATGGTGGCTCTTCCAATTTTAAAGTTACTGGCCTATGGAGTACCAATTTTTTAAGTGCTAAAACATCTTCTGACAATGTTGCAGAAGCCAAGGCTGCTTGGTATACTGTTGGCAAGTAACTCAGGAGGCTCCTTATTTCGTCCTCATATCCAAATGAAAATACCTGAAAAAGAAAAATAATATTGTTAGTACAACCAATGTATTTAAGAAAGATTAAACAACTTACCAGATCAGCTTCATCAATTATCAATGTTTCAAGAGAGTGTTTTAATTTCATGTTACTTGCTTTCAAATGCTGTAACAATCTGCCTGGAGTACCAATAATGATATCAGGCTTTTGATTTAACAAAGGTTTCTGTGCAATGAGATCTACTTGTGGACTGACATCAACAACATTTACTTCTCTACTACATTTTATTGTCAAACTTATGATTACATCGTGTGTCTGTTTGCATAGTTCTTTGCTGGGTGCTATGATAAGCCCCTTAATGTCCTGCTTCTTCTGTGCTCTTTTATTTAATAAAATCTTTTGAATCAATGGTATAGCAAATGCAGCTGTTTTGCCAGATCCTGTGCGCGCTCGAATTAAAACATCTTTTCCTTCCAACATCAATGGTATGGCTTTTTCCTGTATTAGTGTAGGTTCTAACCAACCTAATTTTGCAACAGCCTAAGAAATATTTCATTTATATATAATTACAAACATAGAGAAAAGGAACTCAATCCCGAAGTATAGAATTATATGTAATAAAAGATAACTGATGTTGAAGAAATCATTCGTTTTACTATGTGAAAATAACCTCAACCTCGAAGGTACTAAGAATGTATCTCTTTACCTTCAAGATTCTATCGTCTAATTCTAATTCGTGGAAATTCTTTGGTTTCTCCTCATTTTCCTCATCTACTTCCATTTCGTTTGATGCCATAGTGGATACAAAAATATAATTCAAACTTGAAAACACGTGTCTACTTGGTTGTCAAGGAAGATCAGTGAGATCAACATGTTTACAATTACCGCATTTTTGACATTAGCACCTTCTGGTGTTGAAGAGGAGAACTATAAAAGGAGTAATTTTTGCGTTCTCTATCGGCAAAATCAAAAAGCTCCTTTATAGCACCAAACAGTAGATGGCGCTATTTAGTTTTCAACAAATAGCGGAATTTTTGAAATATAGAAATTTGGAAGAACTTTTACGAGAAAATATTACTCTAAATTTTAAATTTACTTTTTCTCGAAAGCGAAAGGAATGAGAAGAGTGACGGGAAGGTTGATACACCAAGCGATTCGACAATATTGACAATTTCTAGAATATATTGCTATATACACACTTTAATAACCAAAAACAAACATTACAGTAATAATATTGTTATTAATATAATATTATGTAATAATAGAATCGTTTATCAATTGTAGTGTAAACACTAAAAATCTTGTTTCCTCATTTATTGGAAAGAACAATGCATTCGCTTTGCCTCTTCATTAATTAATATTTAATTCATGATCGTCGCGAAGCAGCCGCGCTCGCGACTCGACGTTCCTCGATCGCCAAATGAAATTCTATATCTCACCTGCGTTGAATCGTTCGCTAGGATCGAAAAATTCATATTTAATATCATTTTTATTCCGGACGATCGATAACAGATTCATCGCCAACTTGTACACGAATCGAGGCCACAAATAATATTGTATGACCAAGTATGGGTGTTTAGGGGCGAGGTATCGCGAGCGCGGCGAATCGCGACCCTGTCTCTCTCGTTTACCTTAGAATAATAAATATTATAGTGCAATATCTAAAAAATCTGTCTTTTTTATGCAACTTACACATTCAGTATTTTTTGCTTTTTCTTTTATGCAACGTACGCGAAAAAATGTACAATCGTTATTGCCCTTACAAACATTAAAATCTCTATACTCGAGTGGTGGTAAAATCCGCGATCCCTCTCTCTGACCGCTAGAAAAGAATGTTTGATTCAAGATCGTGTTGGAGTGCTTGTGTGGAGAATCAAAAAAGAGGTGCAGCTGTGTTTGCTGTACGGTGATTCGAAAAAAATTCTCTCATTATTATTTGTTCTTTAATTCACTTTATGCATACACACGAGTATCGTCAATACTATGTGTCTCTTTTCGCATTATATTAATTATGCGACTTTTATGCACATGTAATATAACTCTCTTTCTCTCTATCTTTCTTTACTGTTTCATCCTTTTTCTCCCCGTTTCTTTTCTCGCCAAATGTTTCGGCACTTTTTGGTCGTGGATATAACTGTGCGGGCTATATGTACCCCCGTATACAATACACAATATACACATTATAATACGTGTATCATACAGAGTGTTCCATAACGTATGGGACTAATTTTTAATCAGGGACATGGAACGCTAAGACAATGGAGAAAAATTTCTTTCCAAGTTAGAGCCATTTGTGTATTAAAAATATGTAAAAATCTAAATCCATTATCTGGACAAACTATTTTGGGATAAAAATATAAAATTATTAAAAAATTGTATTTGAAAATCGAGATAAGCTGACAAGTTAAATTGATAATGGAGAAAAGTATAAAAAAATTGAAAGATTACTGTAACTTGGATATTTTACACAGAAATTTTTCACACTGTTTTAGTATTCATCGTTCGCTGCTGAAGAAACACCCTGTACATTCCGTGAGAGTATATCTGTCGGATAGTGTTTTTAGCTGACACTCGAGTAATTAACACCGACGATAAATTACAATCGCGTGTGCACGTTTTCTATATTATGTACAATCGCGAAATAATCGGTATCTCGACCGCTTTCGCGCAGCCGTTCGATAGAAAGTGTAATAAAAAATACGTCTAGTTAAAATAATAAAAAAAGAAAAAAAAAAAAATAAGAAGAAGCACGGATCAGATGTTGGTCGTTTAAACACGGATTCTATCTCCCGCAGGGAAATCAAAATAAACCAACGAAGAGAAACGAAGAGTCTCATAAAATGCGATTAAAGATCTTCGAAATGATTATTAGAAACATTCTCCGTAGTGGCGGAGAGGGAATTGTTTAATTTATTTTTTGAGCAACCGAGGCTTATCGAAAAACAGGATAGAAGAACGAGAATCATCGTGATCGAAATAAAATTCAATGGAATTTACGATAATCCAATAGGATATTTGTTCTCTTTCAAACATTCCACGACGAATTTTCGTTCTTCCACGTGTAGCAAACTAATCAACAACTTATAATTACGTAAAATCATTATATCAATACGTAACAACACAGATTGCTATGAGAGAACGTTGCTTCTAAGCTCGGTTCGCAAGATGAAAGGAAACACGTTCACAGTGATACCAATAATGATTTCAAGACTTTCGAGAGATTGCCTTCTGGCAAAGGTGTGCTGAGAAAAATCTAAAATCTCCTTAAATACCACATAAAAATAATTTAAAAAAAATAAAAATTTCACGGTGGAAAATAAAATTTTAAAAGAATGGAATTTAAACAACCCCCTTCAAGAAGCAAAATTAAAATATTTTTAATTTAATAAATCTACAATAATTAATAATTTTCTCAGCACACATGAATCAAGAGAATCACTCTCAAAATGTGGAGGATCAAGAGAAGAAGACGAAGGGGTTGAAGAAGTGCGGATCTGACATTTCAACGAGAAGAGGGAACGATGTCCCAATCGAAGAATCAACTCTCTCGTCCTAAATGATTCAACCAGACGGTCAAGCAAAGGATCACCGATAGCTTTGTCAACTTGTTCGCTGATAACAGGAGGGGCGGTACAATAACGGTGGATTACAATTGCAGTCGGTAGCGGTAAATAGATTAGCAGAGTAACTGACGATACGAATAGTAGCTAAGATCTAGGATGTACCTTGTATTCTCAGGGAAAGGGAGGAGATCCCGAAGATCTGATGATTTTGAGACGAGCGCAATGACTTTCGTCGACTCGAAATCATTCAGGAGAAGGTGAGCACAATACCGTGAAGAGAGTCGAATGGATTCATCTGTAAAAGGTCCGTCGATTCAAGTAACAGCGACTGGTATCCTCAGTTTTATTCTTTATCTGAGCTATCTCGATCGGATATGTATGACTGAATTGTCACTGTTACCTTGGAAACAGACCTTGATCCCTGACTAGATTCCTCGAAGAATCCCGAAGACAGAGCCGTGAATCGAAGAAACGCATGAGAAATTCGCAGCGCGGACTAAAAGTTGGCGGATCTCGTGGAAAGGGGACCTGATGCTAACTAAAGTCTGATATGTAGACTGACTTTGGGCCAGGTCTGGGTCGTCTGTGCGTGTCGTTCACGGGGTCTGCTACACGCTTTTTGCTATTCGCGACGACTCGCCTAAAATCGTATATCGACGATTCAGTGCTGCCTTGATGGATTTTTCGCTATTGGTCTTGATGAAGATTAAAATGCAAGTACTATTGGAGGATTCAGAGCATCTTGCGATCAATTAATAAGGGTAGAAAGAGGAGCCTTCTACCATTTATATTAATATTTTGAAAAATATCAAATGTAGCCCTACTGTAATTGGGTACTGTGCAAAATTTCAAAATTCCAGGGAATCTATGGAGAGCCTCTGGGAACCCTCCAACCCCTTCACTCCTCTTTCTAATTTTACATTTTTGTTAATTGAATACTTAATGAATCTGTTCTCCGACAATACATACAATTTCCTACAATTAGCATCACTGAATCGTGTACGATGTTACAAACGAACGTGATTAAAGATATGTTAACGTCGGCTACAAGGTATAGTGTATTTCTCTTTCTCTCTCTTTCTCTCTCCCTCTTTCTGTAACTATCTATTCTTTTTATATATATATTTTGTTCTTTTAATATTTATATATATATGTATCATCTCTCATTCACGCAGTCTCTAGATTTAAAGCACTCTCACGCCGGCTGAGACGATCACATGTGAACACTCGCAAGCCTGTCCTACTGTGTACTGATGACGTAGAATACAGCTACATAAATTATATTCTCTTATACGCTTACAGTAATTGTATATCGTTTTTTATATACACACATATACCTACACGTGTATACAGAGCGGGCCACCAAATCACGTTTCTCTAAAATTTTATAAAGAAGATATTTCTCTTATTATGTTTCAAAATTTTGTATCAAATCAAGCCATCTATTCTATTAAATTACATATCGAAATTTAAATTGGATTTTTGTATATATTATTATAATTAGGGAAGGTGATTATGAGGTCTGTTTTTAATGACCCACTCTATGTATACATATAAGTATGTCCATATGTATATATATATACTTATGTATGTACAGCGTCAGATTAAAAATGATGCGTCTTGAAAACGTGTCACCAGCTGTGTCTAATTTTATTTTAGCCTCATTAATTGCTCTCACCTTCACTTCCTTTTTTCCCCTCTTTTACCAAAGAAAAGCACTCATTGGCTCGATAAGCATTAGTTTATGGCTGGTGATAGTATCCAGGACACCATGCATTTCCCCCGCCACTGTATGCACCGTGTTTTACCTCAATTATCCCCCATGCTTGCTCGCGTTATCTTTATATTCCCAAAGGATGCTTTCCCTTGAAACACCATACCCTATGGTTCGTGCAACCATGTACGTATATTTCGTTTCGAATATTTTACCCTGGAATCACTTGCCTCCATGTTTAAATGTTTAAAACAACCAAAAACTTGGCTATCACAGATGATAAAAATAAATTTCAAATATGCCGTCGTACCTTTTCCTCTAAGCTCAGTTTTTCATTTTATTAAAAATAATTTCAAGTATGCCGTCGCTATTTATTTTCTCTAAGCTTCCTTATTTCAAAATTGCTGCTTCCTATATGTATACCGCAGCACCCTACTCGCGTCGCTTTCAATAAAAAAAAATGTACTATAAAAAAAGAAATTAATTTAGGAAGGCGATAGAGAGCTTTAAAACAGTAAAACGCGTTTACAGATAGTTCAATATTCGATGGAGTCACTATAATCAATTCTCATCGATATCGCGGTCAAGTACGGTGATAACACACCTGCGATGCAGAATGCAATTTCATATGCACAAATACATACATATATACATATATATACTTCATCGCAACACGTTTTTTTTTTTTTTGTTATAAAAAGCGACGTTTCGCTCCTTTAGCCGACGAAACGCTTTTATGAAAGACGCAGTCGCGACGTTTCTTTTTAACGCAATCCATTTCACAATACTACATCGCTCTTTCTATTTTTTATTTTTTCACTTTTTGTAAAAATTTGCTCTCTCTCTCTCTCTCTCTCTCTCTCTCACTTTGCTCTCCGCTTTTACATTGCACACTAAAACACGCTTGCTCTTTGTCTCACGCGCGTTCTTTGCTTCTCTTTTACATTTTTTTTCTTTTTTTAATTTATTCTTTTACTCCGTTTGTTTTTCGTTAACCGCGAGTTAAAAATTTAAAATACTCGTATTACACGTAAGTATTTATGACCCTGTTTTCGTAAAGGCTTTCTAACATAAGTGAATACCGGCCGAGGAAGATTTGAAAAATGAAAAGGGTTCGGAAGAGAAGGTACAGCTGCACGTGTATATGCGAGGGCGGTGCAAAAGAAACAGAGGAAGATGACGATGACGATGTATCGTGTGTATATACGTGTCTCTTCACGCGTTTATTCTCATTTTCGTGCGGTTCTTCTTCGTCTCGATGACACCGAATGATTTACAAAATCATGCAAGATTAATTTATTTAAATGATCCACGATTACGTTCATCGATAACTTTTCAATTTTAGAAATGATTCATTAAGAATTTTTATATTTTCTAAGTAGCTATAATTACGATATGAAGATTTATAGAATATACATTTCAAAATAATTTCAGAAATTTTCATCGTATAAAATACACTCTGATTGAGAAATTTCTAAGCTAGCAAGCTTTTTTTATTCTTCTAAAGCAATGATATGCAATAGAGCACAATTTTTAATTATTAATCAGACTTGTCTCTTCGTTCGAGATCGATCATGGATCATTTTAAGAATGATTTAAGACGAAGAAGATGTATAGGAGATGTAACGAAAAGGGGATGAAGCACATCAAATCCTGCTTTTCTGATAACACGAGACGATCTACTTAATTGGATCGCAGATTAATGCAAAAAATTAAAGCTTTTTATATATAATCCCTGTTGCAGAAATCTTCGCACGATTCATTTTTCTTCTGCTTAAATGGTTGCAACGAATGAAATGTCCATTGTTAATTTTCTAAGGAAGACTCTATAGTCAGGTAATTAATCAACCTTGAAAATTAAAACGGAAGACTTGGGATGATTAAAGGGTAAGATTATTTAGCACAAGTTCAACAATTTCACGAATGAAAATAAATATTTATAAAACACATTTTACACGTTGCAACCTAATAATTTTTTTTCCCACTCAATGCCGATTTGTTTCCCATCGTTTCATGGCGAAAGCAATTTACTGGAATCAAAATAATTAATCTTTTATCGAATAGTGGCACTGAACGTGTTAAATTACGAAATAAAATAACAGGTATAAAGTACACGAAGGCTGTAATACAAATTAAATTGGAAAAAATCGGTAGGCAAAGAGATGGAAAAAATATTATTCGAGAAACAATTGCATCAATATGGGTGTGTAACGACGATTTGGCACAGATATTTAATAAGTCCACGATTTTTTTTTCTCCAAGCTTGGCACACGGCTTTGAGCCATTCACCCTCAATATATTATTCTCTCCTTTTTTTTTTTCGTTCATTTGGCACACACATATTAAAAGAAAGAAGGAAAACAATGACACTCTCTGCGACTCGATTATAATCTCAAGCATGGTACCGTATTTTCATCGGGTACTCGAGTTTCTCCTCGGTTTCTCTCGCAATTCTCTAATCTCATTCTCGTTTAATCGTTACAGAAAAATATGACGTTTGAAAAATCTTGGGCCGCAGCCCCGATCGCGCTCGAGTCATTTCTTCACGCGCCCTTCAGGCGAGAAAATTCCAAGGTTTTCAACCCTTTATTCTGTAACTCGCCGGATGTAGAACGCGTGTGCTTCAATATCCTATAAAAACTAAGTTATTTCTTAGCTGATTGCCTTGCGTTACGGTAAGGTTTGGGCGACTGACCGGATTCACTTCTGAAAGCGACACGCGTGGATTCCATTTCAATTCGTTCGAAAATTAAAATAATCCTTCTATCATTAATAAAATATAGGCAAGCGATTTATTATTACTCTCGATACTACTTCTAATTTGAGCAAAACTTATGGGTATCCCTTACGTTTCATGATATGTAAATTAATTGTATCAATATTAGATTTTATTGCACGAGTCAGGGAATTTATTATTGAGAATGATTTTAATTACCCCGAGACCCTTAAAACGAAAGAATATTTTTATAAAAAAAACAAAATATACTAAAATATTTCTCCTATCGCTATACAATTTATCACTTTTCTACATCCTAAAACTATATCCCGGTTAAATAACAAATTTTGTACTTTTATAATCCCTTAATTGTACCAATCGACGAGTATCCCAGAAATCAGGAAAAATTTTCTACGATGAAACCCACATGTGTCGCATGAATCACAAGGAATTCAAATCAGGACCCGCGCAGTAAGGATAAGGCCCCTGCACTAACAGATTGCTCTACGCCACAACGATACGATCATGTTCCTATTAAACATTCTCGCTTTTCCTTTAAATAAATTCGTTCGAGGGCAAATGACGAGACAAATACGTATAGATAAGATTAGTGAGAAGGATCAAATTGATCAAAACGACTGACCTTTGTGGGGTATAAATGGGCACCTTTCGAGTTTCTTCGAACTACTCGTACACGTCGCTACTGTACGTGAACAATCACGGGAAGGGGTTGAACCGTGTATCCAAATCGACGATCCTCTCACATTTCTCTCATTTCTCGTTGAAGAACGACGAAGAGTAACGTCGAGATGGTCCAACTTCTTCCAGAACTTCGAGGGACACACTGAGTGATGTTGGAAGAACTGTGAGGTTCTGGATACCCATAGAGATGCCATGGTGTTTTATTTCTTGCATTTTCTCTTTACATTTCTGTATCTTTTTTATGGGCTGGAAATGGACGTGGATGTGTCAAAATTTAATTTATTATTAACACGTTCCCTGCCATATGTTCCTATGAAAAAGTTGACAATCCTGTGGCAGGGAATTAATATATTAATTAAAATGAAACTCTACGTTTTTATTTATGGATCCTCGCCAAAATCCATGTCCATCCCCTCTCCAAATTCTGGTACAAAAGAAGCATTAATAAAACGTATATGACACCTCTGGATACCTCCTGAACACACGCATGTTCCTATATACATAGGACCCCATTGTTCAATCGATCCCTCTAAACGTGGCACCTCTTCATCATGAATACGAAATTACACCGGGTAGATGATGATCTTAGAGGCTACTAAACGCTACGAAGAGTCGACTCGAAGGTATACTACGAGATACAGATGTCCGAATAAATATGAGCTTATTATCGGAGCAGAAGAGAGATTAATTAGTTCGTAATCTAGTCATATGTGTCAGCGGATATGCTTCTGGGAGTACATCACTCTCGCGATCATTTCCAATCGTTTGAAAGCAAATCCATGGTTAATTGATGATTCAACGAGGAAATGATCGCGAGATTTAAATTACGATGATCATTTTCGACTGAAACTCGGTGGACAATGTCATTCGACGAATCCAAGAATATAGACACTGCGATTGAGTACGAAGAAATTGAACGATCAATGACCACCGTTCTCCGTTCGATTCGATGATAAAAAATCACTGGGAATTTAACCCTTCTCCCTCGACTCGGAAGATTCTACGTACCTATACTCCATCCAACGAGACGAGACGAGTAAATGCGTAAAAATTCACGTGCTCGAAGCAGGCTCGGCTAGAAGTACACAAACCTCGACCGATACGCTTGAAGAACCGGGAACAACTGAGCTCTGCGTCGAGCGCGCGAATTTGTAAACATATCCTGACTCGTCTCGTCGAACGGGTTATTGTTTTTGTTCAAAGTAACACTCGTGAATATTAATCTTAACGTTACTTACAATGATTGTTTTAAACAGTTCTGAAATTTAAGGAGCTTTCCTCCTTAGTCTTATATAAAATTCTAGCCACGTTTAAAAACCGATCTCTATAAAAAATACTACTAACACTTAAAGTACACCCACGATTGTGGTACTAATTTTCTTTTGGCACAATTGCAATGAAAAAATACACAAATTTGGTCCGATCTTCCATCGCGTAGCATACCCTAAATTCTTCTAACACCTAAGCACCGATCTAACTTAATTTTAACAAATTAAATCACGTTCATTCAGTGTTCAATAATTCTTTTAAATGAAAATAGAAGTCGAGGGAGAAGAATCACGATTACGTGTACAAACGCGTGGGTCGATTTTTACATCCACAAAATTTCAAATTCGACCAAGCGCGCGCGTTTTGGAAAAATAGAAAAAAGAAAAGAATTCAAGAAAATGAAAAAAGAGCATTCTAAAGCTTTCTCTGTCGCACTCTCAAGCATAGCACAATTTTATTTCTCACACAAACACGCGCATTACAATCGCACTCTCATGCAACATAGCCGATTACGATGGTCCCTTTTTTTATTTAAATAAAAAAAAAGGGTACCTTGCGAAGCACGTGCATCTTAATCTTTCTTTTCCTCTGCGATCTCTGTGTTTTTCTGTCTGCCATAAAAATCGTCCTTAACTACTTACTAATAATCGATTTCTAATCACAGCAATTATTTATTGTTGATATACACAATCATACAGCATCTCTCTCAATTATTTAACTTTTTTTTTTTTTTTGTTATTTTTCATAGCTTGCCTGTGGATTCTATCATATTTTTTATTCGTTCTTCCATGGGCTACTTGCTTTTTTTTCTTTTTTTCCTTCAGCAGAGGCTACTTTCTTTCTCGCTCGTCTGTGTCTGTTTATTTTTCCTCTTATCTCTCTTAATTTCTCTATCGTTCTTTCTCCTCGAAGCGTTTTACGGGTACGTCGTTATCGGTTTCTCGATAGAGAGCGGAAGGGCGAAAAGGTTTGCGGACGAAGAAGCGGAACGCGAAGAGATACGTGATGCAATTCTGAAGACACGAAGAGGAACAACAACGAGAAGATCCATCGGAGGGGGAGGACAATATTCTGTGTACATCTGTGTACGTGTATAACTGTGTCTCGTGTGTCTATGTGTGTGTGTGTGTGGTGAGAAAAGAGAGAAATGCTTCGTCGAAAAACGCCAATGATGAAATCTTTTCATCGTCGCAAACCGTGAAACGATAACAACGGATAAATAGAAATAACAGTACGAATTAAATAAGTTACGTCTCTTAACTTAGCGTATAAAAAAGAACAATGACAGAACAAACGTTCGGTACGATAAAAAATAGAAACACATTTAAAAAAAACATACAAGGTGTCTTGATTCTTTCCTGTTAAAATTTGTGATTATACTCTGGAGATGAAAATAATATTATATGAAAATTGGAAAATTATTGAATATATGAAATATAATAAATTTAAGTTTTATATAATATTCATTTTTTTTTCTTTATTTTTATCTGGAGAATAGATTCACCTATTTTATAGAAAATATCTGGGACACCGTGTGCATAGGAACAGAAACTTAAGTTCCTACATTTCGAATAGATTTTTCAACTTTCGGCTCGATTGAGCAAACGAATTGATTTAAGAAAAAAAAAAAAAAAAGAGATACAAATAAAGTTAGCGTTAAAAAACGCTGAATAAATAGAAACGTTCGTTCGATCGACGATGAAGCGACGTCGCTCCAACGAAATCAATAAATATTTACAACGAGAAACGCGTTTAATTATTTACAGTGTCGAATCACGAAAGACTGGGGAAGGGGGTGAAATAATTTTGAGCGATCGAAGGGGTTTTGTCGAGGGCGAAATTAAACGTCGATCACAGAAACACAACGACATCGTATTGCACACCTTTCTCACATTCCTCGACTTTTTTTTTTTTTTTTAAAATAATAAATAATTCAGTGAAAGAAACACAAAGTTGTATGGAATTAAGATGAGGTTTGCAGGAAGCACGGTTTCCTCGAAATTTCTTTGGCACAGACCGGAAGTCTGGCTAACCAGAATTCTTCGAACGAAATTTACATGTATTCGAGCTATAATTAAAATGATTCAAATGAAAGATCATAAATTAATGATTTAAGACAATGATTGCTACAACGAAGATTAAAATTTAAATGAACGCTATCTCAGTATACTTGCTCCAATATTAAATTAATAACACCAATCATCTAATGACAATCGATATATTAAAAAATCAAATTTTTCTTTTTTTATCTTCGAAGACACTGAATCTACCCTACAACGCGTTCAATAGCTCGCCTGTGATCGAAGCAAGTATTGTTTCCTAACATTCCATAAACCGGAAGTGATACCTAACGATGGAAGAACAGCGGACAAGGGTGAAGAGATGAAGAAGAAGAAGAAGAAGAAGAAGAAGAGTACGCCTCCATATTGAAGCATAATGCTTTTTGAGCTCGCACCTGTATTTTCTTTTTTTTATCATCGCTAATTTAATCTCCTCTAATTGTTTTTTCCTTTTTCATTTTAATCGTATAATAAATATATATATATATATTATATGTGTATATATAATATATCGTTATTTATATTCCATGTAATAATTTCATTTGTTCCTCCAACAGGAGAGGCGTTCCAGCAACCTCTCCATCGTTTTCCGAATAAAAACGAACGAGCGGACGCTGGTACGCGCTGATCAGCTCGCTTCTCCGCTCCGACACGCGAGCGGAACAACACTTTCCGACGAAAGGAAGAAAGGAAAAAAGAAAACGAAAACCTTATCTCCCCATGTTCAGCGTTAATTTCGGTGAAATCGAGTCTCGCATGCAAAAAACTACGGAACTACGTGTTTAATTAACGCGCGCGGTTAATTGTTACTTTCCCTCGGTGTTCCGTGCGCACGATCGCGAGTCCACGATCGATCTTCGATTCTCAATCATCAGGGAATCGAACGAATTCTCTGAGAAATTCGTTGAACGGTGAAAAAGCGTCGATCTTTGCAAAATATTTGCAATTCAACAAACTAAATATTTCTTTTGATAAAATAAAATATAGAGGGACAGAAAAGATCTATCGTTTGTTATACGATGATAGATCCTTTCTTCCTGAATTTTATACCTGAAAGATTATTAAATAATTTTTTCTTGTTTAACACAAGGTAAAAAATTCTCAGCAAACTTCTTCGCGTTTGTAAAAAGTTTTAATCTATCGATTGCTATGCAAAAAAAAAATTGCTATGCATAATAAATATTTTTCATACCCTGCAAGATGTTTTATCAACTTCCTCTCGCTGGTATTCTCCTGGAAAAAAAATCATTTAAAATCATTTCCTCGTACAAGAGAAATCCATCAATTCAATTTCAAAACGTAACAATAAAAAATAGATAACAAAAGAAACATAAACGAAGATTCTTGAAAACATCATCCAACTTTCACTATCGTTAAAATACCCAATTTCAATTACTTGTTTACTACTAAACGTCAGTCAATACTATTTCAACTACAATCATTATTCATAGTTTTCACTTTCAAATTCAATACCGCAACTTTCTCCTCCCGCGTCTGCTTTATCATTCAATTTAACAACGAATCGAACAAATCACTTTCACGAGAAAATTAATAAATAGAATCTTACTACTATCACAACAGAATACTTTTTAGACTTTTAAAATAAATAAATATTTACAAATATCACTATCACTGTCCAATGTCTATCATAAAAGGATAAAAAAAATTAACACGAATTAAAATTTTCAAAAATTATCATAAATATACTCTCCGACGCTTTTCCCGTCTGAAAATGAGAAAAATAGAAGATAAGATCGTGGACATCGAACGTGTCGGAACACCATCGATAGAAAAATCGCTAACGAACCGGCCCCCTAATTAATATCAATATTGTATAATATTCAGCGTCCTTGTTCACACACTCGATACGATTATAATAATTAATTATAATAGTACTCTCGTATTTCTCTCCCGTCACGTAATTCTCATTTTCTTTTTTTGTTTCTCTCTCGTTTTAAATATAAAAATGAAAACTAACGTATCTTTGGCTTGTTCCCTTTACCAATCGGCAGCAGCCACCGTGCGTGCGCCCGCACGTGCTGCGGCGTGCATCGTTTATGTATCTTATTACACTGTTTATTATTATTCATGTATTTTTTTTTTTGTTCTTTTCTTCATTTTTTTTTCTTTTGTTCGTTTAAATATCTTTTTTGTTTTTTCTTATTTTTTTTGTACAGCTTTGTACACTCAAAAAATGTATGTATCCGTGTACGCGCGTGCGTGCCTTCTTCGTCTCTACTTGGCGTGTCTCTCTATTCAAAGCGTGTGCTCCGTTTACCTGTTTCCCATTTCTTTTCATATCCTCTGCGTTCTCGCCTCGTTATAATTTATTTACACATCTGTAATACCTTTGTCGAGAGCGCGCGCACAATTATCCTTACATACCTCTACGTGTACCTCCTTTCTCCGACCATTTATAACAATGTCCAAGTGTGTGTAAATGTGTACACGGTCTCCCTCTCCCCTTTTTTTTTCTTTTCTGATTCTAATAAAATGTTGTTCTTGTTGTTGCTCTCAGGTTGTGTGTGTTTTTCTTTTGTGTGTGTGTGTTTTCGTGTATGTGTGTTGATTAGCAAGCTGGTTGAACACAGTGCGTGGCCCAGCCCCAGATGCCATTCGACAGCTTCGCGTGCGTCGTGACGCCCCGCGTCCTTCTTTTTTCTTTCGTTTTTTTCTTATTCTCTTTTTCGACGACGACAACGACATACGTTTGTTGTTGCTTTTCTTTTCTTTTTTTTTTTGTTTTTTGTTTGTCTGTCTCACCACTTTTAGTGGATCGGCGACTTAACGATGTGGTCCGGCGGGATGAAGTACGTAGATATCGGGATTCCCGACGTTTCCTGCGATATCCTGAAACAGAATTGGCCGTGTCCGTCAGACGGGTTAACTAGCGAACCGATTTCCGCTCCGACTCGCGGACACGCGTGCTCTTTGCTCGTCCACGCGGAACAGGATCTTCCTATCGGTTTCCTTTTTGTTCTTGCAGCTAAGAAACGGTTTAACGAATGGTAGAATATAAAATTAAACCTCGTAACTGGTTTAGGATAAATTTTACGACGAATATAGATTACATAGGTTTGTTTTATTCTTGAAAATTTTTTAGAAAATTTATAGTTTCTTTGGAACGAGCAACGAGAAACGCGCGTCCGCGCCTCTTTTCAAGGTAACATGCGGTGGATCTGCGGAAGATCCTCGATCATCGAGACAGAGGTCGCGTTCTCGGTCCCAGTCCGTCCACTTCCGGTTCGCACGACAATTTTCCACGACCCGGGTGTCTATTCATTAACCCTCTAATGTTTTAATAAAAAAAAATTAGACGAGATCAAACAAGTATCAAGAACCACGAGAAATGCTAAGTATTATTAATGATTCTTTGGGTTAATTTGTGAACATGACAATCGTAGAAAATCATCTCATGGAACACACTGTGTCGGGACGCGTAACCGAGTCGACAGCGATCATTCACGTGGAATGATTCCCGGATGGGTTCGGATGATCTGGTCGGTTCTGGTTGGCCGAGGTCGCGATCGGATACGTACAATGAAAAATCAAAAACCGAAAAAAGAAAGAGACAAATAAACAGAATGCATGAAAAAGAATCTAACACGCTATTGGATATCAATAAGAACAGTCAAGAAAATTATTTTAAAAATAATTTAAAAAAAAAAAGAAAAAAAAAAAATTATTCGTTGTCGATAAACGATTCGTTAAAAAAAAAAATTGGGAAGAAGTGTCGATTAACGGGACTACAAAGGAGCGGATGGTGCTTACCAAAGACGGGCAGGAGCCTGGGTCAAGTTGTTTGGATGGATACATCTTCTCTCTCTCTCTCCCTCCCTCTTTCTCTATATCTCTCTCTGTACTGAGTTCTCTCCACTCTTGGTACGTTTAATATATGCACGTTATGCACACTTAACAGATTTCTATATACACATATATGCTCTTAACGGTTTTTCCCTATACGTTCACAGTATTTCTTTCACGTACCACACTGGACAGCGAACATACGTTACACGTGTGAACAGAGACACGTAGGAACGTTGCATATGTTACTGTCCACTTCTTTAAAGCTTCTTTTCTCTTGGTTAGTTGTTTTTTCATCCGACAGTGTACACGTAGGAATATAATAAATTCCCATCTCTTTTTTCATTTTTTTCTTAAAAGAAATAATTAAAATATGAAGTGTAATTTTGATTTATAAACAGCCCTTTTTCCAGAAATTCACGTGTGCACTGGCGGGTCAAGAGTGAAAGAAATAAAAAGGTATACCGCGTGGAATGGTGTGCTCTTTCAAGATGGGCCCAAATTAAATCGAACAACGTGAAATAATTAATACCAGAGAGACTTTACTTTGTTCATAATGAACAAATTTCCGATTTCCGAATGCTGGCAGTGATCGTGCTAAAAATTTGCAACGTATTAATTATAACACACATAATTAATATGAAATTTCTCGTTACTCGATTTAGAATGGTTCGTTTTCATCTCGTGCACTACCGATCGAGCCCCATTTCTAAAAGGAGGTAAGCAACAATAAAATGCAGCACGCCAAGAAACGTGGTCGCGCAATGTACTGAAATATTAATTAGCCACGGGTACGTGTAAATAAAGAACGAGAAGAAACTGGTAGTACACCTGTTTCCAGCAGTGAACAAACGGAACTTGATGTTGGAAACAAGAAAACAAGAGTGCGTTGCGGGACCTCGTTCGTAGGAAGGCCGAGCCAGTTGGTTGTTCTCGTATTATTATTTTTTTTTTCTTCTTCAATTTTCTTCTCTTTTTTTTTTTTCATGTATTAAACACGCCTAGCTTTATTTAACAAGGTGATACAGGGTAGCTAATGTCTTGTTAAGCACACAAGCTCTGCGACATCGTTTATAAGAGACCAATATACAGATTGAAGACTAATACGTTACCTAAAAAGAAAAAAGAAACAAGAAAAAAAAGGTCCTGTGTGAGTGTGTGTATACTCTTGATAATAACCGTCAGATCTCCCTTGCTCATCTGATTCAAACGATTCTCTGTCTCATCGTTACTCTAAGCACACTCGCTCCCTCCCTTTATCTCTCACATGCAAACTATTCCATGTTTAATAACATGAAAATCATCGACGAAGTGAGAAATCATTATTGTCTCGACGAGAGAACGAAAAAAGAAACTGGGACGAGACTACACAGTGTACAGAATGTAAAACGCAATGAATGTATACTATTCTACGAAGACGTCTGTATCGTGTTCGTGACTCCTATCTGCGATTGAAATATGTAGCTGTTGATTTATTATGATTAAATTTATTTTCATTAATCATTGCAGGAACGAGTTACGATCGCGATCACGTCAGAAAAAAACCGATTTACAGCGGTGAGCATTGATGGTTTTCCTTAGAGGAAAAGACGAGGTGGGGGAAGAAAGGTCCATCTATGAAAGGTGTATCAATTTCCAAATCATGGCATCCAAGTTTCTAAATTCTAAATTATAACAATTAAATTTTCTAAACTTCTAAAGTATAGCATTTTACAAATTACAGTGGTGGATCTATCTTTCCCTACATCACCTTTCTCCCTAGGAAAAGCTATCAATGCTCGACACTGTACAAACGATCAAACACCCGATTTATGAAGTCTACATTCGCTCGATCTACGCAAATATCTCCTCGCTACGAACTAGAAATTGAGCACACAACATTGATCTGGGAACTCCTATGCAGCCGGATCGTTCATTAAGAACAGACAATTATTAATATTATTAAACACCCTCTTGGTTCGTCGGGTCTTCTCTTCATTTCTGTTCTTTTATTCAATCATGAAATATCTTCTGTATTAACACGTTGTTGCCACAAATTTAATCCACTGAAATAATTAATTTGTCAATTTAAATTTAATAAATTCTAAGAGGAATTAACATATTAACCCAACTTAGAATTTTCTTGAATAATTTTAATTTCAGTTACTTGACGGTATTAAATTTGTGGTGTTAATTAACGATGATCTCCACAATATTCAACGTGTTAACATGGCAATCTGGTTTCTTTCAAGATAAACCCATCGATCAAGATCTGCATCGAAACTTGTCCATTTTCATATTTCCTTCCCTTCTGTATATGTGTTGGTGTACCGTGTAAATATGTATGTAAAGTGTACGCACGTATACGTATCTAAAATTGTTAGTTTATCTTGTTAACGCTAATTATCTTGAACTCACTGGAGGATCATTTACTTTCTTCTCTCTATTTGGTAATACGTCTATAGATTCGTATAATATAATTCGAGCGTGTTCCTCGTGAGAATATGATTACGTTCCGTTTATTTTTCCATATATATATATATATAATTATCGTTATTATTCGTTACAATTAAAAACGACCACTATTGCAAAAAAAAAAAAAAAAATCGATCAGATTACTTCCGTATAGCGAATGAATACAAATGTCTTTTCTCCACGACTTCATCCAAGTATATCATAAGCTCGCTTTCATTCCTCGTTCATTCTTGCACGATCGTTTCCGGAGGAAGTCCATCGACGTTTTATAACACGGTTACATGATTACGACACGATGTGTCTAAACGTCATTTTACTTTTCATTTTCACCCTTTTGTCCCATTCACTCTTGTTTTCGATAGAAGAAGAAAATAATAAAAAAGAAAAATAATGCATATATATACACACATATGTATACATATACACATTATGATTCTCTGTCATACATCAGAAAAGTTTCTACCTTAAAATCCTCACACACTCGCGCCATTAAACTTCGAAGTGGTCGGCTATACAACTAGAAGAAAAAAAAATTACATCGGAATCACCTAATTCTAATAAGAAGAGCTTTCTTTATCTGCTTCAAACATTAATCAATCGTTAATTCATCGTAATTAATATTATGTATATGTATACATATATATATATATATTATATATAAAAAAGGCTGTCTTGCGACGGTGCACGAGCGGTCCCGTCCTCCGAGTCGTGTCACTCAGAGTAAACCCGATAGAAAAATCTGATTATCATCATTATCGCGGTATCTTATGATACTATAGATGTTTCAAAAACGAAAAAATAAAAAGGAATCAAAAATCACCAATCAAATAAAGTAAAGTATTCAAGAAAATAAATGTTAATAAAATAATGAAAAAAGATATTATAAAAATACTTGTGTACCTTGGTTGAAAAAGGAACATGAAGGACTCGGAGGGCGTGTCGCACTAGTGTGAACGTCCGAAGACTTAGCGTCGGATCTCGCCTTGGCAAATTCCCGATATCTCAGGAAAATCAGCAAAAAAATGACGGATAGATAAATGATTCTGGATCCGAGATCAGTGTGACAGGGAATCGTAGACTGGTGTACGGGTCCTTATTCTATAACATACATCATGGTGTTAGAGAAAGTGATTAACCCTTTAATCCTTTCGCTACAGTCTCCGTTCTGTTAAATTAGAAGTACATTAATGTAAGAAATTGCATACGTCAAAATGCTAATTATCAAAAAAAAAATTTCCATTGTATTCCTGATATCGAACGACTATAATCATCTGTATCATACAATTCTCATTTCCAACTTCCCTTACGACAGGTGTTTTCATGATTAATGACATCTTTTGATTATTATCCGGCGTTATAATGTATACCATAAAACTACCAGCTATCGAATTGAAATTACTCGATGATAGATATACTAATTAGATATTCAAAGTGACAAATAGATAACTTTACCCTCGTCTTAAGTATTAATTGTCACTTAAGGCTAGCTCTAAAAATGTTCATCAAACGATTATAGTCTCCTATGATATACAATGGTCGTTCGGTAGCGAAAGGGTTAAATATATAGATATACATATATATATTGATATTGGTCCGATCCTTAGCCAAGTCTTGATGCGGACTCGCGCTACCCTGGCGTCCGTACGCATTTATCTCCGATGTAAATCTCGTGTCTCGTGTGTTTATGATCAGAGTGCTGGTGGTAGTGATGATGAGTAATGCGTGTACGTGTTATGATCTCCCTGTCGCGTGTATCCGTCGATCGTCGTCGTCCACTTGCTCAGTACGGGTTGTACTTGGTGCGTTCTGATTTGAATTTGCCGCTGTCTGTAGGCCCAGGTGCGCCAGGGCTACGTAGCCTCGGCGTGAACTTGTGCGACCGGTGCACGCCGGTTGTCTGGACCGGAAGCGCGGATGCAGCCGCGCCAGCAGCACCACCTAGCAATTCCGTGAGTCCGCCGAGGGCGGTGAGGCTAGATAGGGCGTTGAGGGCGCCTGGCTTGCTTAGCAGCTGAGCCAAGGGAATGGCGCTGGCCAAGGGAGAGGCAGTGGTAGTGGTAGTAGAGGGAGAAGCACTGGCCCCGGATGCCCCGGGAGTGGTACCGCTGCCAGGGGTTTGGGTATTTTGGGCCTCTAGGTTAGCTTTCTGCAGTTCAACACTGGGGAAAAGACACAAAATGTAAAAAGGTGAGGGTGGGAACGTTCTTCTCGTAAAAAACAGTATAATGCATGTAATGTATGTAACGTGTGCGTAATTCACAGGGGTATGGGGTTAAGACTTTTCTCTATTTATTTTTCATGTTAGAGTGCGTTGATAAATGATTTAAAAAAAAAAAAGAAAAATAAAGAAATAGAATAAAGTTGACCCTTGAAGGGTTCAGTGAAAATAGCGAGGTGGCTGATATTGGGTCATTTTTTGAGTGCACAGTTGAACAAAAAGGATCTTTTGATACTTAACATTTTAATAATTAATAATTCATACAGCATCAGTAGCTCAAGATGCGAGTTAAAAATGACCCGGTATCGGCTGGCAGGGAGTGTGTTAAAATCAATAAATTCTATTCCTCTTCTTGCCTAAGTGTAATCTGATAAAATCTAAAAATGATACATGGCCTCCTTAAGTAAGAAAATGAAAGGAAAGAAGACAAAAAAGGGTTGGATGAAAAATCGTTTTTCTATCCAAAGCGACCAAGTATCTTCTTTAATTTTCATCAAACAGAATCACTCGGCAAGAGAGTCAAGGAAATGAAACGCGGCTATGAACAATATGAAATTTTAATAATCTACGGAGCAAAGATTCTTAACTCGAATTGCTCTGAATAATTGAAACCTTTGCAACGATGACCATTGCAAAAGATTCGAACGAGCAGAAGAGTAGTTCGAATTAACGAGATTATGAAAATTTCATAGAGTACGGTGATCAGTGATAAATCAAACGGGCCGGCTAGAAGAATAGTTATCGATTAAAAAAGATAGACACAGAGTGTAGCGTAGTGTGATGTTGGATAATAAAGAAAGAAATCAAGGTATTCAAAAAACAGGCTTCACAGAGAGTTATGCCACAGGTGTGTTCTATGGAGCGTGATACTCTCACGTACACCGGCTACGTGGTTCATGTCAGGGGGGAAAAGAGAAGAGTAATGCGCTGCGTCGGGACGCGTTTCATTCATCCTAGAATCATCCAGCCGTGTCGCTTGTTAAACAAACTCGAAACGCGTCCCGACGCGGAGGACGCGCGGCGAGGATTCACGATCGAAATGCTTACCCACCGTGTAACTCGTCGAAACCACGAGCTACGTCGTCGAACGGAATCCTTCTAACTTCCAAAGCGCGAAAGACAATTATAGTAATCTCGTGATCACTGACGAGATACGCGGTGGCCATTTCTTTGGCGCAGCAGAGCCATAATCCGTTGCATGACAGAGTGATCAGAGCACAGGCAGGAATCCATAAAAGAAAAATTTAAGAAAAAAAAAAGAAGAAAAAAAGAAATCAATCGATAGCTGAACTGTCCTCCTTAATTAAAATGTCTCGTGTTATGTATAGATTCTAAAAAATGATACAGAAATTTTTATTAAATCTAAGGACAATTGAACTAAGGAGGGCAAAAAGAAGGCGTGACAAGTTCGAGCGGTATCGTATCACAGATACTTTTGGTAAAACGTGATAATAACCCGAGGATGGAACGTAGCATGGCTCTGCGAATCACTGAAAAGCGGAAATCAAAGTGAACGGGGCGCAGTAGTTGCACTCTGCCAAACGTTGGAACACCGCGTCTTTGCCTAGACGGTCCGTGTCGTTGATTTGGCAAATCCGCGTGTATGCTTGGGGAATCGGGTCGATAATTGGCCCTGTACATCGCTCGGCGTACCAGACACGGAACCAAGGGCGGAGATTATTGGGCAGAGTGCAAATCTTGGCCACCGGGAGTGCTGGGATGTATACAAGATACGTAATAATCATGACGACCAAATTTGTGAAATATCAGAGGGTGGAGATGATGAGTATACAACAATTCTGTCGCTATTTAAACAATGCAGCAGTAAAAATATATATGAGTGACAATCTGGAATAAAATATAATATGGATTATAATTTAATAACGTGGTGTGGGTGGAACAGAGCGTGAGAAAAGGTTCTTTTTCTTTTCATTCCGCGTTTAACAGCGGCTAAAATACTGGATACTCTGGTGGTCGTGCTAATCTGGGGCTAAGTGGGTTTGTTGGGTTTTTATGGGGGTCTTTAATGGTAATTGCTCTCTTCTTTAAATAAATAAATAAAAAAAAAAAAAGGGTTTGGTAAATGCGCTATCGGACGCGTTCGATCGTCTCGAATCTCGTCAACGACTACGTTAGTACCGTTTCAGCCATTCAAAAGAGTGTCGCCATTATGAGAAATAGAGGTATTAGTCCCATAGCACGGTTGGAGGAAACAAACAGATCTGCATCCGTGGACATTCACTGCTCGAACATTGAAATAATACGCAATGATGAATAGCGAGGAAACGTAAAAATTAAAATATAAAAGATGCAGCTCGAAGGACACCTTTGGCGAAAATGATTTTACATTGCAAACCTTCATTGAGTATTCCATATGAACCAAGATGATTTCTAATTTTTTCATCTGAAAATATAAGACAATTTGCATCGACCGATTAATCCTTGATAATTTAAATGATTAACGAGCATCGCCAAAAGTGATCCTCCGTCAAAAAGAAAATAAACTCTGGACCATCGAGAACCGAATAACCCGGGTGGAAGGAACAGTAGTAGTGATGCAATAATTGCTTGCAATAATAAATATTTTTGTTGCGGGGGATCTCTTCGGGATAAGATCAGTAATCGACGGAACGACATTGCTGGAAAATCGTTCGACTACGTGTCGTTTTCTGTCGGTGATTGTATTTTTTTTTTTTTTTTTTGCTTGAAAGGACAGCCAGCGACAAGTGGGGGAAACAGATGTTGAGCGGAGATGTGTTTTTCTTTTTTTTTTTTTTTTTTTTCTGCAGGATACTCAGGGTACTGGGCCTGGAAAGCAGGACCTGGAAACAAAGGATTAAGATCCTCTTCCGTCGTGGTCTTCCGGCGACTCCGGTGTAGACGCTGTGATCCCTTGGTTCGTCGTCGCTGCGACGTCTTCACTGGCCAATGTAAACCTTACGACTACACGATATATATATATCTCACCTGTTTCGCTAATAGAACACCGGAGGTGACGTTGCAACGACTGCAAACTTTCTTCATTGAAAATTTCTTGATGCTGTACCGCCACCTCATTCGTGATACATTTCGCCCTCGTCGACGCGCTGGCACTTTATTAAACCTCTTCTCCTTCATTCTTACTCAACCATTTCGGTGCTAAATACTTTTTCGCGAGTAGCTCTATTGGATTTATCTTATATTTGGTATCGATCAATTAAATGTAGCACCGAAATGGTTAATTATGACAAATAGAATCGACAGAGATATATACCCGTTTGGATGAAAATCCTCTACGACCAGCGCGTCGTCGTTCGAGCCAACAGAGTAACGAGATAACAAACATGATGGGAGACGTTGTCGCGATGACGGCAATTCGACTAATCCCCAAAGTCTCTCACTGTGACACCTTCGAGACACCGAGGCTAAGAAAGGTCAATTTCTGGGAGGAATGAGTAACACAAAACAGGCGAATCGATCCGGGGGCTCTCTGTCAGGTGGGTTGGGCAGAAGGTATAAATATATATATATATATATATCAATCATTATAAAACATGTAGATACTTAACAACACCGGCAACATACACAGGTGTCGAGTCAGTTTCCTGGCTATTAAACGCCAGAGAAAGAAAGAAAAGAAAACCAAGAAAGTTAAAAGGGGGTGCTTTGGTGATGTGTCGCGAATATGTTGCAAAAACGTAGCCGGGACGAGTTCGATGTGTACCGATGGGGGGATGGAATCAAACAATTCTTTTTATTTATTTTTTTTTTTTTTTTGTTCTTCTCTCTCGCAATGAGAAAGATTCTGGAACCAGAGTCCGACCGAACGAAGGAACGTTGGACCGGTTCGTGCGGTTTTGCATCGTCAAGGTACAAGGTTCCCTCGTGTGGGACGGGCCTTGGTTACTCGATGACGGGTTTGACCGAAGAGCTAAACAAGCTCCGGATTCCCGTGGTACTCACCTCATGCTGATGAGATACTGTGCCAGTGCCACAGCGTCCGGATTTCCGGTTATGGTGATCGTACGATCCGTGGCTCCGCCCTCCCTCTCCTCGCAATTACTGATCCGGATCATGGCGCCAGATATCTGACGGATCTCGGCTATCTTGGTACCACCTTTGCCGATGATACAACCGATCAGCTCGTTTGGCACTGTCATCTCGTGTGTCTGATTGTTCGCCGCTGGTTGTTGCCTGTTCGTGTTGCTGGTGCGTAGCTGGCTACCAGCCAGTGCTGCCAGTGCTAAAGAATGAAATTCAACGATTTTTAAAATTGCTCGTCGCATCGTAGTTGAGACAAGTTTCCCTGAACGTCCCTTTACTCTTCCCCGCGATAATTAGACTAGCAATGAATCATTTACCTGCTGGATTTAATCCACCGGTGTTGGCAGGTGTGGCGAGGCCTCCCAGGCCCAAAGCTGCTAGCCCAGCCAATGGATTGCTACCAAGTTTGCCCATCTGTAACAACGACGAAGAGATCCAACGCTCAACAAAAAAAAAAAAAAAAAAAGAATCACGTGCCGTCGCAATGAAAACGGTTAAAAGTGCTCCAGGGTGAGGGATATACGAAGACACCGATAGAAAATATATCTAAAAGGAAAATTATTCATCTCTGCCTGCTTCCTCGCGCGTCTCACATTCGAGGATCGTCGATTGTAAAAGGAAAAATAAAGAGAAATACATATAAATTGATAAGACAGAAACGACCCCGTCTTTCGAACGGTAAAATTATAAAGGAACGAGAAACGATAAGAATCATCCTTCGTCTCGATGATCCATCGATCGTTTTGGATTCTACGCTTTTCAAGCCTGTTTCCCACATTGTCACTTCGATCTCGACCAACAGGATGTCCCGACTTCCTGGAACGTTTTTTCGCGTCTCTGAAATCACGCTCTTTCCAGAGAATACACGTGTCTCGATGGAACAAAAGTTAACGTGAAATTATACGAAAGAATAACACCGTTTCTAGGAATTTTTAAAATTCATTTAAAGGTAGATGATCGAAATCGTTAAGGGTTGAATATTAATTAAACATCTTGAATTTTTTATTACGGAAAAGGAACTTGCCCGGATAATTCTGAATAATTTTTAAGATTCATTTAAGGTAGATAATCTAAATCCTTAAGGGTTGGATTTTAATTAATCATCTTTAATTTTCTATTATGGAAAAGGAACTGGTCATCTCGTTCGACCAATTATCAGTAATGTTCTATAGATGGACGATGATCGTATGGAAATCTGATTAAACTCGATCGAATTTAAAATGAAAATAGATTCTGACTGGTAAAATTCATTTCTATGGGTATCACATTAGACGAAACTCATCGCGAACGAGTTACTTGTGTATAGCAATGTACAGCTCGGTATTCTGGAGGTCGCTTTGCGCTATTAGGAGACCAGAAGCCAAGGAATCCAGGACACTGTACGATCTGGTCGGAGAATGTACCGCGATATCGGCTTGGAACTCGGCTCTTGCTCGATTCTCGTCGAGGATTCTCTGGAAATTAATCGACGCGAGTCTACGAAGGATTACAGGCGGGGTCGAAACCTGGAACGACCTCGAAAAGGAACCAAGGAGAGAGAGAAATAAAAAGATAGAAGAAAACGATCGACAGCATGCATCTACGTATCTTGTTCGATTAAGATGGTCCTTTTTACAGTGGTTCGTTGTTAAATTCATTTGCAGAGAAAAATGTGCTAATTTATTAACCCTTTGCGAACAACACATTATCATAGTAATTTATAATTCCAAAAATATTGCAGTATATTCTTGATAAAATATTTATAATATTTGTTTTGAAGGATAGAATTATTTCCTTTAATTTAAATTAATTATACTCTATGCAAATTTAAAAATCCACCGTCCCCAAAGGGTTAATATATATTCTGGTTATTTTTATTCAAATATTATTTCATTTTAAAATAGAAGAATGTATGATTCAACCGCAATCTCTCGATCTCAAAGTGAACTTTCTAAAACGCTTCCGACTATTTTACTTCGAAAGAAAAAGGGAATAAAACGTGGCATATTACTCGAACGTTGTACTACAGAGTTCCGAAGCAATTAAAGTCGAAACTCGTCCAGCGATTCATCGATCGTTCCAAAAACCAACAGCAATAAACTCGACTCTCAAACAATCGCGTGAACGTCGGAGCACAACGAACCAATGTAAAAGCCGCTAATTACAATGAAATCTCTTCGTTGAAACGTAATCGACTAATTCTACTACTGGATCGTCGGTATCGTACGTAAATGCATACCCACGATGACGTATATAGAAACTAAACTATCGATTAAATAATAAGAAACAAAAAATAAAATGAGAAGATAAAGAATGCCCTCTCTCTTGCTCCTTGTTGCGAACAGGACGAGATTGCAGGGTCAAAGATCTAGGATTCTCTTCGTGTATTTATAAACTGTATCCTAAAACATGAAAACCGCAAGTATGATTGGTCTTCTATCAGCATCGTCTAGACTAGCCTACGGTGCACGCGGTATAATTACATATGTAATTATTTGATTGCAAACACCGTCGCACTGATATCAATTCCGCGTGATATGCCATACTTTCACAGCTTTTAGGCATAATCAAGAGGAATTATGCCATCTTACTGATTCTTTAGTGAAAATAAATTAACACTTAGAGGAGGCATTGATTAAAAATTTTCAAATTTTATGGACGCCATAATTGAGTAATTAAGAAAATTTTATTTCATCAGTAAATACTGTAATTCTGGAAATTGAATTAACTTGTAAGAAATATTTAGAAATTTTTGTAATATTAAAATTAGTGAAATTATGCCATCAGATAAAATTATTCTTATCATTTTATCTAGAATCTAGACGGTGTTTGCAGCCGACCTTGTTCGAAGAGACATAAAATAGACAGACAAAAAAAAAAAAAAGAAAAATAAATAAATAAACTAAATATACATGATCGTCACGAACGTTACTTCTATCCTGCTTAAGATGGTGGAAACGTGATGTCAGGGCAGCCCACCCTCGCGCGAACTTCTTTGATTCGTAGCTAAAGAGAGTGCTTGGAAGCCATGCTGTTCTAAGATAGGATTGGCGACGGGACAATGGACAACTGAGGATTGAAAAAAAGAAAAAAGGCGAAGAAACGAACGAAAACTAAGAGAAAGATTGACAAAGATAGAAAGAAATCAAAAGATAGAGAACGTTACAGGATCGAGACGTTTTACCATGGCGTTGCCTCGATTTCCTTCTTTCACAATGAAATCGTGACAACGTCTGACAGTCTGACCACGAAGAAGAAGAAGGAAATTAGAAACAGAGACGAGTATGAGCGTGTGAAAGAGATATACGAAAGGTTTTGTAAAGGTCTCTTGCGAAGCCGTGATAAGCGAAAGCGTGTACGTACATACGTTTTGATCGCTTCGTCCGTTTTGTTCACACGTTGTATCTGGTTCTTTTTTATTTTTTTATAAATATATAGAAAAAATCGCGACGAAAGCGGTGAATTTTTGAGAACACGCTTTACGCTGTGTATCGACACGGTGAAAATTCATTTTTCCAGCAAGCGTGTAGGAAAACTCGGCTCGAACGCGAGAAACAAATGCTCGACGAAAAACTTGATGGATTCAACTCGTTTTTAATACAAAATTGGGAATTAATTTCTTTCAACCCCTTGACGACCATTTTTTAAATCTTTTTTATTATTGTATTAATACCGGACAGCTTAAGAATTATCGGAATAAAGTATTTAATTCCTATTGATATTTTTATCCTTATCTCAAAGACGTCTGAAAAATGTCGAATCAAGATAACCAGAAAATTTTCTAAATATACTTCATGAATTTCATATTGATTTTATCATTGATTAAAACGATTAATCCTTCGATTTGATATTGCAAGAATAATAAAATCCTCTGAAATAATCGACGCAACAATTACCCTCGAACACCACCGACAGGGCTGTCTAGTTTTCAAATGCTGCGTTTGTCATCAAGGGGTCAATCAGTTAATCGATAACTCGATTACGCGTCGATTTCGAGCCGCAGCAAATGGGATCAGGATGAAAAAAAAAAAATTAAAAAAATTGAGGACTTCTGATCAGACTTTACCAAGAACAGAAAAGTAAAACGATAAAACCAAAGACAATAATAAGTGTACAGAATACAAGAAGCCGAGAAGTAATGTTCTGTAAGCTGAACGATAAATAAAATAAAATAAAGTGAAAAGAGAAAAAGAAAAAGTAGAGTTTGTATCAGGCAGTGGCTGAGAACCGAGAGAAATTGAGACAATATCAGAGTGGTGGGATTCGTGAAAAGAGATATAAAAGCGCAATGTAAGTAAATAATATACCTATGTAAATCTACCTTTTTCTCGTGCCACGCATGCATACTGGTCTTTGTTTTTGTCGTACAACCCGCTCCATTGTTCGCGTGGTTGTTTAGAGACCAACCCACCCCATAGCGTACCCCATAAAGCGACGTATAATATCTCATCGTAAGGAAAAAGAAACGGAAGGAAACGGAACGCAACTCGAAGAAGAAATCAAACAAAATAAAGGGAAATCAGAAAAGAAAATAGAAAAATAGATGAAACTATTAGAAACTAAAGAAACGAATAATAAAGAAGTGAGAAATTGAAAGAAAGTAATTATAGAGAGATAAAGTAAGAGAAGAAAAATGAAAACACGTCGAGTCGCGTACAAGTGTGTGATAAGGCAAAGGTGTCTATTATATTATTTCGTTTTTCTCTTTTTTCTCGATCGTTTATATCGTCTCGCTGCGATTTTGCATATTTTAACTTGATTCTGTTCGCATCATCGAATCCCGTGAAACCGAAATCGTGGAAGTCGGGCTCCGTGTCGCCAGTCGGTCGTCGAAAAAGCGCAGAGAAACAGAAGGCAGGACAGATAGTGAGACACTGTAACACCACCCTGATTAAAATTCACTTTTTTTTATTTTATTTCTAATGAATTCAAGAATTATATTCGATGCGCTGGAATTTTTTGTAGCTGAAACTCTATGACTATGAATTTATTTAAATTTTATAAAAATTACCTCTTCCATAATTTCGACCACGTTGATAAACTTAAATTTGAAAATCTACCTCTTTTTTATCAAAATGAATCATTTTAATACTTGAAACGGAATCGTTGAACTCGCGCGATAAAATTCGAATGAAAAAATTAACTTTCCTCGTCTGAATTTCAACGGCTCGTTTTAACAGCGGTAACATCTTTTTTCTTTTTTCCAAAACTTCAGACCGAGCCAGACAGGAATGAAAAATTCTGACGCAAGCTTAACGCCGCCGAGAGTTTGTACGGATGCGACGAAGCTGGGAACGCACCCTTTTAATAATTCAATCTGTCAACAGGGTCGGGGAACGAGCGTTGCGCCGATGTTTGCGCTTCGTCCACGCACAAAAAGAGTCGCTAATTAGCAAACGTCCGCGTTAAAGTCGGTAATTATGTTTGCCGAGCGTCGTTCGCGCCAACACTGCGTCGACGGATAGAAAATTCAGAATCAATTGCTTTGGCAAACGAACCCTGTCTATGGTTCCGCGTTATCGTTGGATAAAAAGCTCCAACTCCCGTTTCGAAACACGTCAAAGCTTTTCCAATTTTTTTTTCCTTTTTTTTCTTTTGCAGTCTGTATTTTCGCGAGCCGGGTAATTAAAACGCTCGTTTCCGCCACGATTATTTGATAACGACGTCGTGAATGATGCATGAGACACATACGAATTTCGCGAAATTTAATTTGACAATTCTAAAGTGCACTGAAAATTTTAGTTTAATTTCACTCTTGCCGCGAGTTGTCATTTTCCAACGCATCGAATTGAATTTTTCATTATAATTTCAATAAACAGGGTGGTGTGTTTAATGGCATCTGCCGATCGACCGGTCGAACGAGCCACCTACGAATAATCGAGGCCCGTGTTTCCGCGGTTTGACCGGATCCAATGGCGAGCCACCACGAAGAATCCATCGTGCGACCCGTGAGTAAGCGTTCATGCTAAAGCAGGCTCGATTTTGTAGAAAAAAAATTTTAAAAAAATAATAAAACCTCCACGGTCCACGTGTAATTCACCTGTCCACGCGTTTCGTCGAGATTCTGCCCGATATGGCGACAGAAATCCCCACGATGATCGTAACGACTTCGAACCAGAAGAAACCACGATTATATTCTTCATGGTGGTGCGTGGACTGGTAGTCGTCGAATACGATTCTCGTGAGGAGTATCATGGACACGGGTCGATGGGACCCGCGATCAACAGGACACTGGTGATTTTTATTTTATAGAAAGTGTAATCGTGTAATTTATCTAGAGCAATGTTTCGATAGAAAATAGTTCGAAATTTAGAGCCACGTGTTATCAACAATAAATTTAGATCTCCTGATATAGAAAATAATGTCTGTATAGGAGGAATATAAATTCAATGGAAAATTACTGAATTATTTGACTAATTGAAAAGAAATTTTTTCTAAATTTCTTGACACACTTATACGTGTCTTAATCACCAGCGTTCGTAGTTATCAGCTGCTTATCGCGAGTTCCATACGATCGTGTATAATCCCATGTCGCATGCAACGAATTAATCATCTCTGTGCACCGTGAAGGACGGCAAGCGTATTTTAAGGCGATATCAACTCACTACCAATCGCAAGCACAAGAAAGGGAGAGACACACACCGAGACCACGGCTGGGAGAGTACATCAGAAGCGTCGGTATACATTTAAGAGAAACGTGAACGAAAAAGAAAAAAAAAAAAAAAATGAAATGGAAAAATCCATAGATGGCCGATACACGTAACAGACACGTGCGGATCACATAGAAAGCAAAGCACATATCAGTACGCGACTTCAACGAAAGGAATTTGTAAAAATTCATTTTGTAACAAAATAATATTGAATATTTCATCCCCTCGTGAAGTCGCGTTATTAGGAGAAACAATGGCATGACGTGCAACTTCGAGCCTTTTACCAAAAAAAATTCTTTTAGGGGTTGAAATTGTCGATAACTGTTATAAAGATATAAATAATTGAAGGTATTATTCTAAAAATGAAAATATTTCAAAGTTCTCTTTGTAACAGTTATTTAAAATAAAATTTTGTCGATAAATATTTGAAGCTTCTAACTCGAATACGATTTCCTTTGAAAAATCTAGTTTCAAGTTTATTGGAATCTTGTTTCCCTGGATGATTGAGCCGAAGTTGCACAAGGACGTCGAGCAGAAAGCCAAGGTGTGTTCAGGGGTTGCCGATGCATGTACGTGGACCAAGGTGTGTAAAAAGGGGGTGTAACAGGGTTTCCGTGGAGAGGGACCAGGTGGCCTATATAACGTTGGAGCATTCCGGTACACGCGCGGGCAAACATTCTATGGCGACGCTACGGCATTTGGTGAAAATTGGATATCGGACTTAGGATGCTTCGGCCAAGTGAACCGCGATATCGAACTGCTTCGCTCGAATCGTTCGATAGTTGCCAAGTATTGCGAAATCATTAATCCCGGTAATTTGGTCTTGAATAAAAGAATTTCCTCAAGATTAACTTTAGCCTTCTAAGTTAAATATTTTAAACAAATAAAAGAAAATGAAATTAATTCTCTATTATAAACCCCATTCAACCCACCCCTTCTAATATCCTCATAAAAACGAAACAGTCCATCCTTCCACCAATTACCGCAATCGTCATGGATATATTCTGACCTGGCAGAGCACGTAAGGACGCGTGTATCCAGAAACCGTAGGGTGTCGAAAAGGGGTGTAAGGAGGTAAAGGGGTATTGAAATGTTGTAACAGGTCCATCCGCGTTTCGTATCGCGTGTACAATCGGCGCGGATTTTTGTATACAGAAATATAAGGTGTGTCGATGTGTGTGTACCGGTTCAGGTCTGGTGGTTGTATCTCAGGTGGTACGGGAGGAGGGGGGTGGATCACGAAAAACAAAAGACTTACGGCGTCTGCCACGAGGTGTGCGGGCGGGAGGGCTGCCTGCAAGTGTCCACTCTTCAGCAGGGGGTCGGCGAGGCCTGCCACGCTGGCGTGTAAGGGGCTCGGATGGAGAGGATGATGTGGGGTGGTAAGGTGGGCCGTGGATAGGAGCGGATGCCCGTGAGAAGCGGCGAAGGCCGAGGATGAAGGGTGGGCCGCGAAGGGTGAGGTCGTCAAAGTTTGGGTATTCAGCGAGGGCGGGGTGGGCCCGGCACCGGGCGCGGGCAATGGCAATACTGTACTTACGTCCGAGTGGGCGGGCACCGCGTAATTACCCTGGATGGTGTAGGCTTGCCCACCAGCCAGGATCAATGGCCCACCAACTTGGGGTTTGGGGCGATAAGGGATCGTGGCACCTTTAGGAGGGGACTGAAACAGAAAAAAACACACGCACGAGTGCGAATACACCGGTCAACATCGCTCACAGTGATTTGCTTATTTTTGCTGCTGCTTCTTGCCTGCTTCTCGGGATACTTCATTCCGAAGGAACTTTTGTCACCCTGGTTAAACACCTATTAACACATTGTTCACTAACCCATCAGTTAACTACAAAATTGTTTCAAATGTCATGAAAATATATTCGAAAGGGTTCTGGTTTTTTTTTTTAAATTCAAATTTTCACTTTATTATTATAGTATGGAATAAAATAAAAGTTGATTTCATAATTATGAAATTTCATTAATTTTTACTCAATTACCCCATATTCCTCTACCCTTTCATTTATTCTCATTCTATCATAAAAATAGTAAGTGAACAATGTGTCAAGTTAGTTATAAACCAATGCATATGAAATATTATAAGATTACATTTCACCTGGACCAGTCTAATAAATGAAGACTCGAATGGATAATAAAGTCATTAACTTAAAGAACCCTATATTAATTGGAGGTAAAAACATGTAATTTTTGAATAGGGTTCTTTATTCATAAAAAAAGACTGTAAATACCAGGGTGACGTATCAATGAGAGGTCGTACTACCGTGGTACGTACCTCTAGCATAACACAGCAGATGTGATATATGCACTGCGTAATGGCCTCGCTGGTGCCTGATATGGTTACCGCACGTTCCGTCGAATTGGGCAGCATCTCTGATGCGACCTGAATCGAGGCACCGGTCACTTCTCGTATCTCCTTGATCTTCGAGCCACCCTTGCCGATGAGGGAACCGCATTGAGAAGCCGGTACGATCAACCTGAGTGTAATTGGCGGCCTCGGTACACCGCCTCCGCTCTGGATGTCGTGGAACTGCGAACACCATTCCTCGAATTTCTTGCATATCAACGTGAATGCTTTGAAGATCGAATTTGTTGGCCCGGTCACAGTCACTATTCGCTCTGGACACGAACCGTCCGAGATGTTGATCTTCGCGCCCGACTGAAACAAAATAAATCATATTAGCGATGATACAATTCCTTCTCTTCGAGTATCATCGATTGATCTATCGTTGCTCTGGTTGAATCATGAAGGTTCCAAATGAAAGGTGATTGATGGAGGTTGAAAACAATGATCTGAGCAAAATCTTCTTTATTTTTTTAAGGGATAATCTTTTGAAAATCTTTGAAAATTCCCTCCAACCATACGAGGCACGACGTCTGTTTTTTCCGGCTCTGGCACGCATCATTTATAGTTCCGCCTCGCTGTGCACTGTCACGTCATTATCACCGCCTGATAAATGATAATCGCAACGGTGTTTGTCGTATTTTTCAACTGCTGATAGAGCCGCAACTGCGTTCCTCTTCGCTCAACCGATTAAATACCGGACAATGGAAGTTGAATTAAACTTCCAACCAATGAATAGACTTTTATTGTTGAAAAAACCACGCATTAATCTGACCATGAAGCTATTCAATGAAACGCGGGATATTGCTACGATATTTAATTTTAAATACAATTCATTTATTTCATACAGAAATAAGACAAGATAATTGAAATTATTCAAATATTCATAGCATAAGCAACATTTCCATCTGAATAAACTTCTCAATAAAAGCGACAAAATCCAAAAGAGACTATTTGTTGATTGCAGTGTTTTATTTTAGAAGATCAAAAGCGTTTATTTTTCAAGCCAGGACAATGTATTTTTTCTTTTTTTTTTTTTGTTTATCGTGCAACAAGGGCCACTTCATACAACGACCCGTGAATGTAGGTCATTGAAAGTTATTTTAAATCTCTTTGTTACACTATCCTTATACACTCTAACTACCTGGGAGGTGAATCAGTGACGACAAAATTAGGTGTGCATAGATTGTACGAGCATTGTTTACGAATATTCGTAAGAAATCTTGAATGATCATCTAAAATGTGATATCTAGTTTATTAATCATTATTTTCGCATGCAACGATCAAGGAGATCGTAAACTCCGATCAAAGTTCTTAAAATCGTACGGAGCACTCTAAACGACGCGTTACGTCGATAGAGTACGGAAAATGACCCGCGTTTAACACCACGCGTGCGTCACGCTTAATTAAGTCCCGTGTACCGTAAACTAATACACTGTAAAATCACGTGGATGTGGCGTTACGGGCGAAGCAATTATTAAAGTACCCTCTGTTCTAAATCAACCGCACGGTCAGCTTGCCTGGATGATGGTTTCAGAGAGTGAATTAATGACGGTGTGCACGAGTACTTGAATCAAGTTCGAGTTTTAATCAATGGAATTTCCGTCTTTTTTTCTTAAATTTGAAAATTTTCATTATCAGACTGCTAATCAATAATTTCACTTCTAATAAATTTCAATTGTAACAACTAAGTGCATCCTCTAACAGTTACTGGCAAGAACCAGACACTCTACTATAAATACGTGTCAATATATTTAATGGAGACAGAGGATGATTAAGTGTGATTGTACAGGGAAATGAAACTTTGGAACACGAAACGGGGGCGTTGACGAATATTTTCGACAGATAACTGTCACCGAGTAATTATCGAGAACGTGATGATTCACTGTCGTAACTTTTACGCGATACATGATTCATGGGTAGAAAGTAATGGAAAATGTATAGCGTATATAAAAGAGAAATGATACAATTAAAGAGTCTGTTAATTACCTCTTCCCGGAACCTCTTCACGATCTCTCCTTTCTTCCCAATGATACTTCCGACCTCCTGCAACAAAAACAACGATGCACAACGTTATCGTTACGTTACACCATATAACTTTTACGATAGAGAAACGCAACAGGGACCACCGTAAACCTTCCAACATGCTCGCTTGATTACGCTTATGAGTTACTATGCTCCGTGGAAACGGTCGTAAATATCAGACGCTTTAGAGCCACCTAACGTGCTGCTACCTCTAATGCAGCTTTTCGATAAATTAGTAGATTTACAGTACCTCGGTCTGACGATAAATTTTCACCTATAACCAGGTATTGAAAATATTTTTAAAATGAAACAATTATAGATGGGGCCATTTTCACTCTAGCAATTAACCCTTTCGCTTCTCAGTACTCTAGGCTTAAACGTTATTTCCCTTCATTTTTCATTTTTTACCTATTGCCTTATCATATTATTATAATCTAATGACACAGTGGGTTTCCAGTTGGGAATTTTTTTTTTCATAAAAAGAAGTAATTTTCGACAATTTTTTTTTGTACCACTTAAAGTCATTTTCATACCACAAATAAGACAACTCTCACCTGACGCACATGTACGTCCATAGCAGTCAAAGGGTTAAGGGTGTTGAAATAAAAAATTTTAATGATATTCGCGCATTGCCAGGGTTGATTTTCAGCGATCCATCATAGCGAAACAAAGTCTCGAGGCAGTTAGAGCGGAGACACAACAGAGTAGAAGCTTCTTGAGAAGACATTCTCCACTCGTACCTATAATTAGTCGCTGCGCTGGTACTCGATGTCCAGCCAGCCAGATCTCGTATCTTCCTTGACACGTTCTGACCCTACGATAATGTCACCACGCTCAAGCTTCTCGGCGAGCAGGTATGCACTTCGTGCTCTCCTCTAAACTTAGATGGTGGCTGCCTACATCGACCGAGATGCCAGCGTCTCGTTTCACCACGAACGCTCCGCGTATCGTGCTAAATTCTTCATTTCTCGTGCGACAAACGTCGAAGAAAGCTCGCAACGAGAATAATCTCCACCCCGACGCATCGTACGGACCACCATTCTCGCCAGAAGCGAAACATTCTACGAACATTTTCTTACAATTCTAACAATTCAAAATTTCTTTGAATTTAATCAGAATCCTTTCTTTTTGGTCCGTTTGGATTTTATTTGAGATATTTTTAACGAAAATTCGCTCGGTTCTAATTTATAATTTTCAAATTTCTTAAGTATAAAGCGATTGTACCAGTTTTCGAAGTAAATGAATATTCGAGAGAAGACTAAGAAGAGCCAGAGGGGTTGTTGGTGAAAATGGACCGTCTCTAGTCGGGCGCAACTCGCGTCCCATAAGATACACGTTTTATCCCACCCACCCTCGTAACTTCTGACGAGGAAATTACCCGTAAAACCGTTCTAAGAGAAAGTTCATAGAATCCGTGGAAGCTGCACATGCAAAAGATGAACTTACTCGGTGTATAAACTGTTGAATCAACAGTGAATCAACACTGGCGACGGGCCAAATGCAACGTGCTGAATTTCAGTCGAAAAAGTACCCTTAAGTGTAATATTAATAATATTCAAAATCTTGCTTAAAATACCAGTTGAAACAGCGCGAACGAGCGATATTTCATAAGTACTTTTAAGTAATAAGAACCTAGACCTAGAATTTCTAAGGCTGAAAATAAACTGATATTTACGTGGAACGAATTTTAAAAGATTCTCGATTATAAATATTTAACAAAATGACATTTTGCTGAATATATCGTGGCACTCGAGCTATTAGGCCGATCTCGTCGCTAGAGGCTTGTATATTTAATTGGCCACTTTGCATCGGCTTCTTTGTGAGCGGCCGCGCGTTTCTGGAGGCGTCGCGACGCCTCAAAGGATCCGAGACGAGGCTCGTTTATAACTCATTTCCGCGGCAGCTCGCGGAATCGTTTCTCGGATCGACGGGAACAGCCGGCAGTCGGACTTTTCGATGCTCCCTTTGTTCATGTGCTAGTCTCTGCCAAGCTTCTCCGCGCCGTACTCCTAAAACGAGACCACCGCGAGAAGGGGGTTTTCTCGAAGGCGCTAACCACCGTAAATCATCGCTGACCCTCCTCCTCCCGTCGCAGGAGAGCTGGACAACCGCGTCACCGGCGACGAATTCTCCTTGGAAGCAAATATAGCTGGAACAAGAAGACATCGAAAAGGGAGCTGGCGAAACGCCAATTAGACAGGTCACTACCGAAACCTCCGTGAAACCCTTTAGCTATTCGACAAACATTCGGGAAATTATATTTCTTTTTTCCCCAAGAGTGAAAGATTTAATAAGGTTCTTTGAAATATTTCATGAAAAGCAAAACGACCAGTCGGTTGGAACACGGATCAGCGAGACCGATACATGAAATACAGCATCGTCTTCAGGTTATTAGACACAACGAAAGCCGATTGGCCACGTGCCCTGGCTACGTTCCAGTTTCTCCTTTTGCTGGAGAATCTTGAAAAAATGCCTTGCCTTTCGGATACAAACGTTCGCTCTTCCGAACAACGTTCTTTCTTCGACGTTGACCGTACCTTTCCGCGGACGTATCTCTTCCGCGCGGATCCACGCGACTGTTTACAAAAGATACCGATACCACCGGGTGTTTGAAAAAGCCAAGGAAACACGGAAACGACGAATCCCCGCCGCGAAGATAAGACGACGTAGCTGGATTCGAGCCAGATATTTATGTCGATGTCACTTACTATGGTACCCGGGGGAACCGCGACCGTGACATTGCATCGGGAATGGGGAAAAATTGCCGGAAGTTTCGATGGAACCATCCAATTTCCTGATCCCTTCGAATAATGCGCGAATTTTCGCCAAATTCTAGCAATCCCTTATTTTCATCCTGCCAACTATGGTTCTTAGTCTTCTCAGATTTTATTTTATTTTTAATTTATATTGCAATATATCAAAGAGTATTCTACTCCTTCAGAAAATAAATAAATGCCATGTCACAAAATGGCAAAATTAATATTAATATTCAAAGGGCCAATCTAGACGATATTGAAAATGTAAAGTATTTTAAATTTTCTTCTACTTTATTTAATTTATATTGCAATATATCCGAGTATTCTACTCGTACAGAAAATAAATAAATGGCAAAATTAATATTAATATTCAAAGGGCCAATATAGATGTAGTCTATTCAAAATGTTGGTTAAATTTTCTGAATACGGTTTGGATAAGACATCTGTAGACATATCGAAAGGATAATGGAATCATGATAATTCGGATTGAACGGCAACTGATTGGCCACGGTTGCTGGCCCCTGTCCAGCCTGTCCTACGAGCTGGTCGTACATATTCTCCCTGCAGACATAATGCTTCTCTTCGGCCAAAAACGCGGCCAGACGTATTTATTTCGCGTGAAAGAGCCTGCGCGACGTATCCGTTTATTCGTTTGCGAGCCTTCCAAAACGATCGTTTTGCAACGCCACGAAATTCTCGTCCCCGAAAAGAGATCGTCGAAGATATGTATCTTATTAAAGTGGATAATTAAACGCGGATTAATTAGTCGTTCAGCACTTGTACGTGAAAAGAAAGAAACCAGATACACTCTGGAAGGGTGATTTAGAGAAGAGGAATGCAAAAGCCAGGCAGAAAATATCGCTCTCTTCTCGTCGCGTCATGAAACATCCGAGTTGAGAGGGGTGCGAGAGAAAAGCGAGCGAAGCAGCATTTAGCTCCATAGTCGCAGCTCGCGAAAGGGGTACGAAGAAAAAAAAAAAAGAAAAAACAGGCGAGCAGAAAGAATGACAGAGGTACAGGGAAGCCCCATCGACGACACAGTCGTAGTCGCCGGAATAAAAATATCGTTGTAACGAGATTTGTCACCAAAGTACAGCCTGACCCGCAAAAGCGTCGACTAATTCAATATATAAAATAATTTTTTGCAATCGAACGAGTGTAAATGATCTCGGTATCGAAAGGGTTAAAAATTATTTTCCACCTTTTACAAATATATTTTTTGGAAGAGACTGTACTTTCAGCTGGAGGAAGCCGCGAGGGGAACAGACTGCTGTAGGTTGCAACTAGGAGAAAGCATAAAGAACGAAGAAGAGAAAGGGGCAGGTCGAGCGAGAGGGAAACCCTCCAAGAGGGTGGCAACCCCTCATCGAGGAGGGTGCACACCGATAGGATAAAGGGAGTCGACCGAACCATCCCTGGAAAAAAGAGCCCTATGGAACGGAGCATCATTCAGATATGCAGAAACGTGCAATAATTTCCGTACTGCACTTCAGCACGATCCGACGTCGGTGTACGTGTACGTGTGCGTGTGCACCCTACGGCTGTGCCTGCACCCCTCTGTGCACCCAGACGAAGCGAGGATGCTCGATTGTGTGTGGTTGTTAGCGTTGGGTGTTCGATGGGCGCTGCAGATTTTTCGAGGGATTTCAATGCCATCGAAGAAGAAGAAGCATAACTGGAGTGGTATCAGAGATTTATTCTTTCTTTGGTATAGAAAATTCTTTTGTGAAAATCGGATTCACCTTTTCCTGTCCAATTATATAGAAAAATTCCCAAGGGCTTCTATTTATTTTTTATATAAAATAAAATATCACAGCATTGGACTTAAAAATGAATAAATTTCAACTTGATAACCGCAATAAATCTCAATATGAATTTGAATTATTCTTCTTCTTCTTGGTAATATCCTACCACATTTCCAAATTCTCTGATAATTCCCAAAAATCATAACAATCAAATTCCCATCAAGAGCAGACTGCATTTAACCAGCAATTTCTCGCGAAATCACAACGTTCTGGAAACGATCCGAAAGTTAGTTGAAACATCAAACTCAATCAGCTGCACGCCTCGTGTCTGATTCGAAACGCCTCGAGCCTCGAAACTCATACAATGACTAGTAGGAAAAAGATGTTCGAACATAGCTAACCGTGCTCGTACGCCGTCTGCCGGGTACGATTAATTGCTAAGACGGCGGACATTAATTGCTCGTGCAACGAGCACAGCGTGACCCATGCGACAATTAATTACGGATCTGGTCGAACCCGTCTGAAGACGCACGTAGGGAATCCGCCATCGTCTAACCGGCGAACTTCGACACCCTAATGGATCGTAATAGATCGTGAAATCGACGAAATACCATCCACTCGTCTTCCGATGCGAGACTATCAACTAGAAACGTCGTTTGCCAACGATTCCCTACTATGCACCATTACGAAATATCCCCTCCGTTTAACGATGCATTGTGATTTATACATCGGCGAAAAAATAGAAATGGAAAGACGTCGGATCGGTGAAGAAAAGGAAGTTGAAATTCTTGGCAGACGGTCAAATTTTCCCGACGCGATGAATCGTCGTGGGTTCTCTGTTCCGTCAGACTTTTTGCAATTTTTTTTTTTAACGCAACACGTTTGAAGCGTTGACGTAAGAAGTTCCAAAGGTTACAGTAAGAGATTCAAAGGATTAACTTGGAAAATTTAAACAGTACTGTACTTTGATTCTGATATTTAATCCTCTATTGGCGCAGTGCAATATTTCTTATATAAGCATTTATTATGGGGTCAATTTGACGGCGATTAGAAAATTAGACGCGCAAGCTTCATCGTCTGATCATTAAAATGATTTAAAACAATGTTTCGGTATTCAATTGTGCTTTGATAGGTTTTAATATGACGTTGCAAATGTCTGATTAAATACCACTGAAAAATTTGTATAAAAATTGATTTATTGCCCGGATATGATTTGAAGTGGGAGTCAAAGTGTTAACTGGAAAAGTTCAAAGCGATAACCCAATAAATTGAAAGTGTTAATCTCAGAAGATGAAAGTGGTTTTGTCAAAAAGTATTAACCGGAGAAATTTCAAACTTTAATGTGAAAATTCTGAAATTTCAAGCTTTAACTCAAGAAATTTCGAGAACAAATTCCAGAAATTCCAAACTTTAACTCAAGAAATGTCGAGTGTCAATTCCAGAAATTCCAAGCTTTAACTTAAGAAATTTCAGGCGTTAATTCCAGAAATTCCAAGCTTCAATGGAAAAAAATCCAACGCATTAACCGAAGAAGTTCATCCATCATGAACGGAAGTTACCTCCCCGAAAACCACCTCATCGATTCGTTTTTTCCCCGAAGCGGATATCGCTGGACCGCCACGTATCCATGACCCGAGTCAATAATAAATCGGTTGGCGCGCGTGTGCCAAGAAGGCACCGCCTCTCCGCTTCGCGATTTTATTTGATCCTCGTCGCGAGTCCGTTCTATCAAGAGAGCCTCCGCGTGTTTTCCTGTTTCCCGACCGCCGCATCGCGGCCAGATACAACCCACGAATAAACCTTCCCGGGGATGCCTCTCTCGCAGCCGATATTCGTCTCTCGAGCCGAGCACTTAGCCAGCAATATTATCCGCGGGAACAAGAGGGATGCACATGACGAAAGGATTCGCATTTACACGGGGCTAGTCCCTTTTATTGCGGCCGAAACCGTCGCGAAAGGGGATAGAGAATATTCGAGTAGGGTCCGCAGCAATTTTGACTTTCCAGCTGGTAGAGCCACTGGAAGCACCCGATTTACAATTGCACGAATTTTTTTCAACCCTTCCGGAAGCACCGAGCAACTTGGTGGAGTTGCTCAAGTGGCAGAAGATTGAGTTGTACTTTTGAAATTGGTAGCAACTTTGGAGAAGTTTGATGGGAGCGTGAAAAACTTTGTCCGGGTAAATGAAAATTGAAGGAACGGTGATTTCAAGTTCCACTGATTTTTAATTGAAATTTTTTAAGGAGATACACTTTGGAAAAATTTAATATTTTTTACGATTGTTTGGAATACAGAAATCTTCTACGTATACGTGGTGCATGAAAGAAAGGGTTGGAAAGGGTCGCGCGAGAGGCGACTTCCGGGTGAAAAACGAGCAACAGAGGCGAGTGACGAAAGGGTAGGCGATGCAACGCGGCTCGTAAATATGCCACGATAACTGTCAAAAAGAAAAGAGAGTGTAAAATGTTCGGAGGAGAACGGGATCGACGAACGACGCCGCTCGAATTTACAGCTGGCTACACGAGCCAAGACGACCACGATCCTATCCTCGTATCCCGGGCCTTCGACAATTACGATTTTTATTTTCAGTCCGACACAGAGAAGACCGGTATTTTCGTCGGACTTGGATTACCAGACGAAAATAACGACCGACGTACATATACGATCGCTTCGAAACTTTCTAATTACTGTCTTAGAATGTTGCTTAGCGATCGATAAGACCAACGAAATATCTAAAATATTCAAATGTACAAACTTAAATAATTTTAATTTATTCCTAAACTCCAAGGTAAATTATAAAAAAAAAAACACTATGCTTGTAACACGTCATCGTACTTCTTTACTTTTCATTTTATGAAGTTAATGAGTTTAACTTCTGAAAGACTTGATTAATGGTTAATATTTGCATAACATAAGCAACGCGATATTTACCCTGCTGTTCTTATTTCGAAACATGTTTACATTGCACGCTATATTTTTACAGATTTTTAAACAATTTGCTTCTCAGAGATGTTGAATATTGAAGTATAAAAATATAAAATTAAAAGAGAGTCTTTAAAAACATGGCAATGTCCCGGGGTCTCATCCTTGCCCCTAGACATCCCTAGGGCAAATGATAATGCTGCAAAAGGGATCCTATATTTATACACCCGTGGCGGTCCTCCACCTACGTATAAACGTTTACGCGGAACAATTTTGAATTATATATTAAATTTCGTAATATTTAATAATTAAATAATTAATTAATCATATTATTTTGTTTCTAAATTACTTTTAATAATAATATCGTCAAAGGGAACGATTTTGAAAATTTCATTATCAAGATATCTCTCAAAATGATTGCCGCATATTTTAGAGGCCGAGAGCGATAACGACGATCTTTTAGGTGGTTTCCAGGATTCCTTGCGAGATCTACGCAAATCTGCAGTTCGCGGTATGCAAATATGCAACACAGACATCGCTCAAACTCGTGATTCCAGTTGGAATTCAAGCTAGAGAAGCCGGGTTACCTAGTAATAATTAAATAAATTTTGTTTGAAACCCTTTGCTGCAGGCTCGAGGGCGCACAGTTTAAAGGGTAGATCGTTTTAATGAAAATCTGACGCGAACTGAGCTACTAACTAATGCAAAGTTTGCTATCAAAAGTGTAATTTTCAAAGATTCGTAAACACTGATATCTCAGTCTTCTTAATTACTTTGGAAATCAGATTTTACCAAAATATTTGTAAGACCAGTTAAGCTCTTAATTAGCACGATGAACGCTGGATATTTAATATTTTATTAAATATTTATCGTCCAATCTCTGACCTCCATACCACAATTTTATTTCCTAAGCTTAAAAATTCGAAATTCCAGGAATTGGAATAATTCTCTAGGAATTTGGAAATATCGTGTTTCAAAGAAAAACCCTGGGGAACACGTTTTTCAAGGTTTAGATAAGCAGTCTTTTGTTAGAATTGAGTCAGTGAAGTGTTCAACTGATAACACCTCTTTGAAAACTATTTTCCAAAGCAGTTTCTTTGCAGTGTGTATTTATCTTATAGCAAAATTCCTTTCATACTTCAGTCATTTCTTGTATCAAAGCTGAGCAGATTTTCCTTATGAAATACAATCCTAATGTATTTTTTAAAATAATCACCGAATTTTATCCCAAACAACGTGGTTGTTACGTATTTTCTTATTCTAATTTTCCTTTCGTAATAAGCATCCATTAGAGGAATAAAATGCTTGTTACATAACTAACAGGATGGAGTCAAAAAACTAGGGTAACCATCAATTGCTAACGATGAGTTTTAATGTCTTGTAGGCGTTACACGAATAGCGTGTACACAAATTAAATAAATGAACCGTATGGTGTTTGATAAGAGAGGGTAGCAATTAAACAAAAGCTTGTCGGTGAATTTCCATCAAATTATGAAATTCAATTCCACGCTTTTCGCAATCCCATCGAAAGTTTAACAGAACAACCATATTGCGTAACCTTTCGATTAAAACTGCTTGATAATTAACTCTTGTAAGAGGATTATATTAATATTAAAATGTACGATACGTTCGTGAAACAATCGGATTCACAAAGCGTGTTAACAAATTCTGAAACATGTTTTTAAAATCTACCATACAATTTAACTAAACTTTATTATGTATCTAGTTTCTAATCTCCAGAATTCATTATATTTTATAGCTTGATAGTTTGCCTAATTAGCGAGCCGTGTAATATTAATTAACCCCTTCATTAACTTAACTTCGTCCACAGTATTGCATTTATTATTTTACGTATCTTCCATTGCATAAATTTTGTATCTTTAATTACTATTAATATCAACCCCTATCTCAAAGTACGAAACGCTTTAATGAATTTAATAACGAAAGGGTTAATAACGGTATAGCAGAGGATAGATGGTGGCTCTTACCTTGCCCTGCATAATCAGGCGGATGGTCAGGGTAACTGAGGGGTCATCGTTCAGGACTGGTTTGGAATCCATACTGTCCATAATGAAGTCACAGATCCTTTGATTGAGAAGGAAGGGTCTTCTTGATACTTGCGGGGAAGGGGAAGGATATGAGGCAGGATAAGGTGGGCAGGGAAGAGGTTAGGCGAGTGATTTTGGCTGGAGGGCTCTTGCGGGACGTGCTTTCCAAACGATCCCAGGTATGTTCAGTCCTTGCACTGAAATCAAAATGTTCCAAACATTATCAAACAACCCTTAAAAAAAAAAAGAAGAAATCATCTAGAAGACATTCCATTTCCATTCTAACTTTTCCTATTTTGAGAAAGTATCCACTGAGGAACATAATTATTTGTTGGCACGATGCACACAATTTTCCAGGAAAATTTCAACAAAGGAAATTCCATTCTGAATTGACGCTATTTTCAACGCACACGTGTATCGTCGGTTCTATCTTATCCCTGTTCTTTGTTGCTTCTAACGAACCGCTTCCTCATTACAGCCACGTGTATATAAAAGTCACTTGAATAGAAGTTTTGATCATAAGGAACAGTGCAAGTATTTTTTTTTTTTTTTAACATAATTTCGCTTGAAATGAAATAAAAATTTTATTCAGATAATACATCTGAGTTTAAGCGATTCGAAGAAATAATAATGGAATATCCATCGACCATCGCGACGATTAATTGCTGGATAAGGAAAATCTCAACAATCGATTTCAATTTAAATGCTTCCCGAGAAATATCTATTGTACAAACCGATGGAAACTCGACGATTTTACTCGGAAGACTATAAATAGAATATCTACATCTATGGAAAGTTTGCACCTTGGAAAAGTTTACAGAAAATCGCTGAATTTAGAAATACCTGCGGGGTATTAAGGGTGTTAGAAACCCATTTATTGTTTAAAAACAGATTTCAGGATTTTAGACGAAACGGTAGCGGTAATACCTATCTGATTTAATGTTTCTAACAAATGGCTCAAACGGCAACCACGATACACACAAACTATTATACCGAAGAACAATATAACTTCAAAACAATGAGCATATGGAACGAGTTGAAGTAAAGTTTCATACCGATTTCAATGGAACGTAAAGCAATTATTAACTTCGTTATTAAACGAGAATATCCAACGAGGAATTAACAGATACTATGCATTTTGTGTCATTTTTCTATTTTAGATAAACTATCAAACCTGTCCGGTTTGTTAGCTTGAATCCCGGAATTACGAAGTTTATTTATAGTCCAATAAATTACAGTACATATTGCGGTGCATTAAGGCTTTAAATGTGTGCACTCAGTTATTGATTAGAACATAAGGATGTCATTTATGTAGGTATAAAAAAGATCCAATAAATGAAAACTGCATATAATATGGTACACTTCAGAAATATGAATAAAACAATTGTTAGTATTGATCGTTCATACGTACTCCCCGTTAATAATCATTTCCAAACAATTTAATCTCTGTGCTCTGAGTTCATTGTTCACAAATCATTATAACAGGCTAGTAATATTAATAGTTAAATTGTAGTCTCAACGAAACACGGAAACAATGGAGACTGTTTGCTTTGGATAGAGCCTTTGCACAAACAACTTCCCATTCTCCGGAAACAGAGAAGGTTCCCGCGTTCAATGCTACGCCCCTGTCTCGGTACCCCTCACTCCGGTGCCTACTTAAAGGTGCGTCAGACGGGTTTCTTGCTCTGTCCGTTATGAACGCGCTTTTAATTTGCACGTGCAGCGTGAAACACTTTGCATCGATAAAAAAAACGCACACAATACATTATTAATTACTCGTCATACGATTTTCTTGGAAGAAGAACATTTCAGCTGCGCGCAATTATTTTTCTCTTAAATTTTATAACGCATCAAGCACGTTTACGCGTATCGATCGACGTTCCAGCTTGTGCGATTACAAGTTTGCGTAGAGAATTGATGATAAAATTTTATACCTCCTATATTGTCTCTATAGTAAAGAAAAACTTGTATCTAAAGTACTCTCAATGTCCATCGTAAAAATGAATTATTTTCGAAACGATTTTATGGGAAGATAGCCCTAACGAAAATATACACGGTACAACTTCCATCGTTGTCCGACGTATCTCCAGATACACAGGTGGGTACCCTGATACAACAGAACGTTAATTACCACGGGTATACCGGCCGCATCGTGAAATATCTGAATTACAAATTGAAAAGCTCTGTTAACGCGAACGTACTATATTTAGCCTTCCCTGTCTTTCTAATCGACCACACGTCTGTACTGGGCGACTGTGACCGTTTCGCTCTGCTGCTGTCCGCAATGCAATTGGACTGTGGAATTCAGTGCAATCTGCGTTCCGTTATACACGCCGTGTTCTGAGTGTGTGCACAACTTAAACGACACCAATGGTCCGATCGTTTCACTACCGAATCGACTTTAACCCTTTCGCCTACGCTCGCCCCTGCCGCGGTAAAATTGTACATAATTTTACTTTACATTCAAATGAAAAAAAAAAAAAAAAAAATTGAAATATTTCTAGATTACTAGAAATGAAGTATATAAGATATTCCAAGTTTCCTAAAAATTTCAAAATATCTGAAAAAATGAAAAATGGCAAATAGAAGGTTTTAATTAGGAAGGGTACAGTAGTAGGAAGCGATCGTTTCACGGTGAGTGACTATAGTCGGTCGCGGTAGCGACGGGGTTAAATCGTCGTTGTTTCCCGCTATAATCACGTAAAGAAGAAGCAATCGTTTTTCGACTGTGACACGAGGGTCGTTGCACCAGACATTGCGTAACCATTCACGGACGATAACAACGTCGCGGTTAATTTCGAGCAATCACAAGATCTGTCCATAATTCCACGGGGATCCGGTGTGCAGGATCGCCTACGATTTGTCAATCTACACCGTATCTCTCCCTTGCTACGTGAGTCATGTGCACGTTTGAAACGATTCAAACCGATTGTGAACGGAGATTTACAGAAACGTATGTTGTCCGTTTTGAAATTGCGATTCCCTTCTTTACCGAGGCGCACGGAATTATTTAAATGGTCAATATAAAAAATGTAATTGAAAATTTGTAACCACCAAAGGTACAGCAAAATAAATACCGTATATACGCGATTTTGTGTAATAACGGATTAAACAGCGCAATTGATATTATATATAGTAATTGGAAAAGCAATTCATCATGACTCGATTTCGCATGGAAATTCTGATGCACGCGTATTATCCCTTTTCGCGAACTTCCGCGTGTAGAAATTAAACGCGGCTAATTACCGTGAGGTTCGGCTCGCTGTCCGACGGATAGACGTGTATCGCGTGCTGTAAACAATTACAACGGGACATTTGATTGGCGGTTACGTGTTCAACTTGTAATACAGATACGCGCGTGTAATATATCGTTCGAATTCTTTTGTCGGAAGGGAAGACAGATTTGAAGGAATTCTTTACTTTCGATATCAAAATCGTGAAGCAAGAAACAACATTGTTTTCGGGGGACAGTAGCACGCGGCGGTTATATACGTATGTGGCGCGCATCGAATGCGTGCGTGGAAAAAGGTACGCAGATATGTGCAAGTCGACGACCAGAAGCGGTACAGTCGCGAGAGAAAAGCAATCGGTAGTCTAGAATGTCTCTGTCTCTCTTACACGTTCACTCACACATACAGGAGCATTCATTCTCTATGTATGTATCCCGCTCTGTATCTCTCTCTCTCTCCCTCTTTCGTTAATATCTGGAGTAGAGGGGAAAAGAACCGATCGTTCGATTTGCCAACACCAGCTTCCTATCTTCCTTACTGTTCGCCTTTTATATTCCATGTACGTTTCAATTACGCAGCCAACGTTTATTATACAGCCGTGGCGTGGAAACACGAGAAGAGATACAACGCGAGATACAAACACGCGGCCAACGAAAACACACTGGTTCACTATTGCCACTGTACTAGTGGTAAAACGATAAGATAGCCGTGACCACCATTGAATTTACGTAGCACACGTAAGTTGTTCCAGCAGCGCAGGAAAAGGGAAAGGGAGATACCGAGCCGACGAGAACAACCGTTCGCTTAACGAACCTCTGATCGAGTCTTTCGAACGAATCGACATTGACGCGGCGTCACACCACGCTGCGAAACGTTTCCCTCCCGGCACCGTATATTCGTATTTCATCCCCATGAACACCTCGCGTACGATTCACACACGATCCGCATGGAAAAACAACAATCCCTAAGATAGAAGGAACACTCGGATACAGCACGTAATTCGTTGAATAATTTCGAAGAAACGGTCGAACGATAATAACGCCGGCGCGGCGTGTGCGCTATGGTGGCGCACCGTAGTCCGTTCCTCGTTGCGAGGCGTCCCGAACGAAACGTAGCTTCGCATTTTAATGGGGCGCGGCCGTATAAGGAAATTCTTAATTACCTAAATGCACTCCTTAATCATCGGGGATGGGGTCTGGCTTCGCCTCACCGACGCACACAACACTCGATGCTCAGAAACGGGGGAAAGGAAGAAAAACACTACACTCTACGCGACACTGGAAAACTGCACCACCTCGGCGGAACGCGAACGAGTCTGCCTCGTTCTCTCTAACGTCCGGTCTCGCTCTATTCCGTCGATGCGCGGCGCTGTGCGCGCCGCTGCTGCGTGTACGCCAAGCGATACTAGCGCCATACTGCGACGTCTACCGCTACCTCGGCCAACCGCGCCACGCTATTGGCTGACCAATGGCGTTCGAGCTTTAATCCGAATCCGTACGCGCCGCGGTAAATTCGAACGTGCTTTCGTCACACCTTACACGATCGCAACGAAATTATGATTGATCATGACAACAATGTGCAATTCTTGATTGCTTCATTGATATTAATGATCAATGTATCCTTCTTCGTTTAAGAAAAATGAAATTTCCTTGTACATTAATTTGTATTGATGAGATAAAAACCTACGTGTAGAAATCCATTTTTATTAGGAAAAATGAAATATTTTAATGATGTGTTGATACAATAAACTTAGTTAACATTTTCCTTTGCAGTGAAAATTAATCAAGTTACCTTGTACCGGCCACTCGTTTAACATAATGCGTTCAAATCAACAGACGATTGTACAAATGCTCGATTCGAATATTAATTAAAATTGCACCTCTATAGAGCGTTAATTTCAGTAATTGCAACAGTCGATTATCAGTCGATGAAGTACTTCCAGAGCCCACTGAAAATCAACGTCTACG